GAGCGTCTGGACAGGAGGGCAGAGGGGAGAGGACTAGACCTGACACAGAGCAATATGGAAGGCCCGTCATTTTGTGCCTTGTGGGGCGCGAGGAGGATTTTGGGTTTTTCTGCACAGGACATGGAAGCCATAGGAGAGTCTGGAGCCCCCCAAAAAAAGGTGATGTGAGCTAACTTTAGCATTTACCCACTGCTACTGCAATTGTCCCGGCAAACGGCCACAATGGCGAGGGCAGAGCCGGGGGAGGGTAAGGTTCTCGGAGGGTTTTCAAAGTTGCTGGGGGTGTGAGAAGCAGCCAGGAGGGAGGTGACTGTGAGGTTTGGGGCAGGAGGGGGCCGTGGGTGGCCCCAGCCGTTTCACGCCCCCGGGCCTTTGGGCCCTGGAATGTTCTTCCTCCTGGACTTGGCTTCCCTCCCCCGCTGCAGGTCACAGCTGGGGCCCAAATGTCAACCGTCCTCTGCAAGAGACCCCATCTCACCCCGGCCATCCTCTTCCTCACAGTGGCGGGTCAGAGTTCATCCGATAGAATTCATGCCAAGGGGACAACCGGTGAGTGCCGGGGGAGGGACCGTGGTCCTAATCAGGGAGCAGATCTGTCCCAGGAAATGACCACACACTCATTCCTTTAGCTCACATTTTCTTTTCTTGGGTGTGGCTGGGATTTGAACTCAGCTCCACCACCTGAGCCACTCCGCCTGCCCAAGGCCACCCATTTAAAGTGTGCACTTCAGTCTGGCACCAGTGAGTCTCGCCTGTAATCCTCGGGAAGCTGAGATCGGGAGGATGGAGGTTCCAGTCCAGCCCAGCAAATAGTTCAAGACCCCATCTCCAAAATAGCCAGAGCAAAACGGACTGGAGCTGTGGCTCAAGCGGTAGAGCGCCTGCTTTGCAAGTGCGAAGCCCTGAGTTCAATTCCGGCCCCCCCCAAAAAAGTGTGCGATTTGGTGGTTGTCACCGACTCACTGACATGCTCCCCATCACCACTGTCATTTCTAGAACACTTTCATCACTGCAAAAAGAAACCCTTCATCCACTCCCACTAGCCCCGGCAGCCATTCGCCCACTTCTGCCCCCGTGGATTTTCACATACTTGGAGTGAGACTGTGCGGCCTTTGTGTCTGGCTTCTCACGCAGCAGGACGGTTTCCAGATCCACTGCGTGGGAGTGGTATCGGGCTCCATTCTTTTTCATGGCTGCATAATGTCCCACTGCTCCACATTTGTTTATCCATTCATCAGCCATGAGCCTTGGGCTCTGTGTCTCTGTCTCTCCCTCAATCTCTCTCTGTCTCTCTGTCCTCTCTGTCTCTCTCTCTCTCAATCTCTCTCTCTCTCTCTCTCTCTCTCTGTGCTGGGGATTGAACCCAGAGCCTTGTGCAGGAGTGAGAGGGGTTCCAGCTGCATTCTGTTAACGAGAGCCCCAGGACTAGAACCACGGTACTTAACCTTTTGTGGAACTTGCGCACTGTCCCCAAAGTGACTGCACGGGTCCCTCTGGCAGTGGGCAGAGGTGTCACATTGCTTCCAGGTCCTTGTCAACACTTGTCGTTATCCTCAAGTACTTTCTCCACTCTATCCTGACTGCCCGCAACCTAGAGCCACCTCCAATTCCTCCATGGCCCATCACAGCTGCCTCCTCCCTGGGCACCCGCTTTCACAACTGTCGTTCCTAATGCTGCTGGCTGAGGTGGCACTTAGGTCACCTGCTGCCCCTTCCCCAGCCTGGGATTCCTCAGCAGCTCCCCGGTGGTGGCCAAGGATGAAACCAAACCTAAAGTCCTCTGCACGCTTGGCCTCTGCTCACCTCTGTGACGTCACTCTCGTCCCTGCTTCCTTGTCTGTGGGACCCAGCCGTCCACAGCCTTTTTCCTGAATAGGGGGACTGCAGTTTGAACTCAGAGCCTCACATTCACAAAGCCAGCATTCTACCGCTTGAACCAGACCTCTGGTCCACTGTGTTCTGGTTATTTTGGAGATGGGGTCTCGAGAAAGAACTTTTTGCCTTGGCCATCCTGGAACCTTCATCCTCCCAATCCATCTCAGCCTTTGAAAAAGCTGGGATTACAGGCATGAGCCTCCGTGCCCAGCCGCACCAACTGTACACAGCCTCCAGCTCACTTGAGAGCTCGCCAGGGCTTCTCTGCCTCTGGGGTGTGCCCTTTGCCCAGTTCTCTGCCCTGTTGTCCCCTTACCTCTGTCCTTCTTCTCCAAGACCTGTGCCTTACTGTCAGCTTCCCAGAGATGCCTGCCCTGATCCTCCCCCAGCCGCACGCACCCCTCCTCTCCTCCTGCCACCTTGTTTGGGTGACACTTTGCCCAGTGGCTGGCGATTCCTTGACTGGCTCTCTGTGAGGGTGCTGGGTGTCAGTGCCTGGCCACCATGACCTTGAACGAAATACCTGTTCACCCTATGTCACAGCCACCCCCCACCTTCCTCTTCAGGCTCCTCTGCCCCAACATGCTGTCCCCTTTTCCTTACTGTCACCAGCTTCTAAACTGCAGCTTCCAGTCAGCTTCTCTCAGGTCCTACTTCATAGGGAGGTTTGTTTTGGCTTTGGTTTGTTTATTTTTTATGGTACTGGGATTTGAACTCAGGGCCTTCACCTTGAGCCACTCCACCAGCTCTATTTTTGTGAAGGGATTTTTGAGATGGGATCTCGAGAACTACTTGCCCAGGCTGGCTTTGAACTGCCATTCTCCTGATCTCTGCCTCCTGAATAGCTAGGATTACAGGCATGAGCCACGGTGCCCCACCCCGTTTTTTGTTTTTTTTTTTGAGATGAGGCCTCACTACACAGTCCAGGCTGGCCTGAATTCCAGGTCCTTCTGCCTAAATCTCCCGAGTGCTGGGATTACACCCTCCTGCCTGACAGTAATTCAGTTTTTACTGTGGCCTCCAGAAAAAAAATTGTGACCAGGTTGCACACATGTTTACAAGCAACAGTTCTCCATCTTTTCCACTCTTAAAATTCATTAAAGACCCCCCAGGGGCTTATTATTTATGTGGGTCATGTCCATTGATTTAACTGAACTGGACATGGTGGCTCATGCCTGTAATCCCAGCCACTCAGGAGGATCTCACTTGGAAGGCAGCCACAGCAAATAGTTCAAAAGACTCTATCTTAAAAAAAAACCCTTCACAAAAAAAAGGGCTGGTGGAGTGGCTCAAGTGATAGATCACCTGCCTAGCAAGCATGAGGCCCTGAGTTCGAACCCTGGTGACTCCAAAAAAAAGAAAGAAAAGAAAATCACAACTGAGCTGGGCATGGTGACACACTCCTGTGATCCCAGCACTGAGGGGACTGAGGCAGGAGGGCTGAGAGTTCAGAGCCACCATGGGCTACATGGTGAGACCCTGTCATCAATCAAACAAACACAAAAACTTTCAAAAAAATTTATCATAACTTTGGGGACAAAATATGAGCTAGGCAGACACAAACTATGGGACCATCCATAGGGCTCACCACAGAAAAATCAGTGTTGGATCATAGCTCCGATGGCTAGCCCGCTCTGGGGCCACTCGGCCCGGGCAGTACGGTGCCCTACGGCCTTAGTAAAACCCCAAGCTCCTAAATTCCGAAAGGCCTGTGGCCTACAGTGTTTGGGATAAAGGACCTATTGGAAAGAAAAGTTTTGTGCCTCAACATTTCCTAAACAGTGAGTGCACTCAGCTATGTTCGCCCTTATTCTTACAGAAGCCGGGCATGGTGGTGTGCCTCTGTAATCCCAGCACTCCAGGGTTTGTGGGCAGCCTGGGTGACATAATAAATGCTGTCTAAAAAAGACATAAAACCCCCAAACCGAAACAAAAACAATGCTTTTGTGACTGAGGAGCTTGGTCACGCCCTTGTTAGTGGTGCAGTGTCCCCCCAGGGAGGGTCTAGGCCCCCTGAGTCAGTCCCACTTTGCAATTCTTCACCATCGGCTGCTTTCCTGAAGACCCTGAGATCCCCACCCAGAAGGTCTGCCGTGTTCCCTGCTGCACCTCTGCCTTCTAGCCCAGGGTCTGGCTAGTCATGTCACAGGGCTTAATGAATGTTTGTTGAATGAAATCATGAATGAATAGCGAACTGGGGACAGACAGACAGGGTTGGGACTGCCACGGGGACGCAATCATTCTGCTCACCTGTTTCCCAAACACCCAGGTAGTGGACCATCAACCCCCCTGGGACTCTCATGCGGCCACTTTCTCCATCCCAGAAATGCCCAACCTGAGCCTCCCTGCTGGAGGAACCAGGACTACATTTCCCAGAAGTCTCAGGGCCGGGACTACACTTCCCACAAGCCTTTCTTCTGCTAGGTTCTGTGTCCTTCAGTCACTGGGCAGCTTAATGGCATCTTCGCTGGCTCCTTGCCCCCTCGTTGCAGTCCCTCTATCCTGCACCCCTCCCTCGCACAGTGATCCTGCCTTAGTTTCTCCAATGAGACTTCCCTAGAGGCAGCTCGAGACCCCCTCCCCGCCCGGATGTCCCCCAATGCGGAGGGCTGCGCGCTGCGGAGTTGCGGCTGCGCGTTCCGTGCGGAGTCTGGGAGGGGCGAGGGGCTCTGCTGCAGGTTGGGGAGCTGGGGAGGGGGCGTCCGGGCCGCCCACGCCGCGTGTGGCAGAGGCTGAGTCTGGGGACGCGTCGCAAGTGCTTCCCGGACATGGAGACGTCTGCGCCTAGGGTGGGAGTCCGGGCTTTGGGGTGTGTCTGCAACTCGGGGTGCTGGAGGGTGGGGCGGGGACCCCCCCCAGAAGGTGGCCTGACACGTGGTGTGTGTGTCCTTGTCTGACGTGTCAGTGTCCCTCCCTGACCACCGAGTGGTCACAGCCTCTGGCTGTGCCTCAGTTTCCTCACCTGTACAATGGGCACGATCCGAGTTCCTGTCTCCTGCGAGGGCCGTGGTGAGGATCAAAAGGGAGTGCGTGGAAAGCGCTGAGAAGAACCGGCTCAGAGCTAAATGCAACTAAGAAAAAATAAATCAAATCAATTGTGATCATGTATCTTTTGTAGGAGGCAAGTGCTGTGGTTGTGTAATGTCTGCCCTGCCTCACGGCCACTGCGGGGATTTGTGCTGCGTGCGTCTGTGTGTGTGTTTCCGTAGGTGACGTGTGACCGTGGTGGGGTAAGGACGCGGTGTAACCTGGTGTGAGATGTGTGTGTGTGGTGTGTGTGTGTGTCCACGCCTGTTTAGGTACGTGGGTGCCTGGGTGTTTATGTGTGTGATTGTGCAACTTTGTCCGGGATGTGTTTGCCTTGGTGTGTCACGCATCTGTGAGTCTGCATGCATCAGTGGTGTGTGTCTCTGTGCATTTGTGTATGTGAGGTGTGTGTCCCCGAGAGTGAAGTGAGTGATGAGCACATCGTGTCTGGATACACGTGTGTCCATGTAGTCACGTATGTGAGATTGTGTGGCATGTGTGTGCATCTGGCTGCGTGTGTTCTATGATAGGCACGTCCGTATGTGATGGGCACCACTGTGCTCTGTGATATTTGTGTCCACCGGATTCTTTGTTGCTCTCTGGTCTTTGGAATGTCTGTTGGGGATTGCGTGCCTGAGCATGTCACCCTGGTGTCTGCGTGGATCTTTGTCTGGGGTGCCTGTCTGTGGCATGTGGGGGTCTTTGTGAAGCATTGATATTCCTGCGTGGCCCAGTGCATCTGTGCCGGGGGCCGACCTTGCCTGTGTGTTCCCAGTGCAGCCTGTCCCTGCGTCTTTGTGTGTGACGTGTACGTGTCCCCGTCTGTTGATGGCTGTCCACCTTTGTATGTGATGTGCTTGTCTATGAGGGTCCTTGCGACATGTGTCAGCTGTGTGTGGGCTGCGTGTGCCTGACATCTGCATCTTTCCGTGTGGTACACGTGTCCATGCCAGTGACATGTCACACTGGTGTCAGGGCCAGGCACTGTTGTCCCAGTGCTCTCTACCCCCCCCCCACCAAGGGTCTGTTGGTCCCTGTCTGTCCCTCCTCCTCCCCTTCCTCCTGGCAGCCAATGCTACCGGGAGCCAGTTGCCATGACAACGCTCCATCCTCCCTCCATCCTCCCTCCTCCCACCCTTCCTCTGACAGGCTCTCTGTTCCCCCAATCCTGGCTGTCCTCGGGGGCGGGGCCCTCATTCTCGTTCCCCCCCATCCTACCCTCTCCCCCCCACCCCAGCAACCCGGGCTCCCCAGCTCCTCTCCTCTGTCCGCCTATCCATCCCTTCATCTGTCTGTCCCTTCAAAGAGGGGGAGGGGGGTACCTGAGCCAGTAAGCAACCCCTCCCTCCCCCTGTCCTGCGTCTCCTGCCCCTCTCCTGGGCTGGGGGGAGGCCAGGGTCGCGCGGGTCCCCATGGCTGGGGGCTGAGGGCCCGCCCCCCCTCCTCCCCAGCCGCCACCACCTCCACCTCCCTTCCATCCTGGACAAGATGCCTGCCCCCGGCGCCCTCATCCTCCTCGCGGCCGTCTCCGCCTCCGGCTGCCTGGCGTCCCCGGCCCATCCCGGTGAGTCTGTCCTGCCATCCGCCTGTCCAGTGGCCCCCACCCCCACCGCGGCCTCGCTGTCTGCCGAGGCCCTGGCTGCGGGGCCCGGGCTCCATCACCTGTGCGCTTCTCTCCGCAGCCGCGCTGGGCCTGGGAGGCGCGGGGACGGTGACTATGTCAACCGGGCCTGGGGGAGGCGGGCTGGGGGCTGGGTGAGGAGGGGGCTGTTTAGGCAACATGTGTGCACGCATGTGTGTGTGCGGGTGTGTTCAGGGAGCGGGCAGAACGGAGCCTCTGGGAGAATTGGGGCACAGGGGGGACACACGGGCAGCTGTCTCTGGCTTTGGGGAACACCGGGGCTTGGTCTGGGAATAGAGGACAAGTTTGTGCTCCAAGCGTCCTTAGAAGAGACGGGTGTCAGCCTCCCCGACTTGGGTGCGGTAGGGCGGGGGTTCAGCAGGGGGCAAGAATCTTCTCCCTGCCTGCGTTGGGAGATCACCCTCTTGCTGAACTAGGGAATGAGGATGCTGTCTGTAAGAGCGTGTTTTAAATTCTAAGAGCTCCAGGCCTCACTATTGCCCCTCCTTGCCTCAATCTTCACTGGAATCCGTCCAAGCCTGGGGTGAGGGGATGCGATGGTTGTGGGATGTCCCCAGTTTGGGGCGAGAGAAGGGACCCCACCCCCAGCTCAACCACCTGGGAAGGCCCCAAACTACAACTCCCACTATGCCCTGTGCCACCTGGTCCCTCTGCCAAAAGGGGTTCTTGATTGTAGAGCATCATGGGAGTTGTAGTCCAAAACTGGCCGGGATGGGAGGGGCATGAGTACAGGAGCCAGTGGCTTGAAGCCGGAACCCTAGTCTAGCCCTGTCCTCACAGATGGATTCGCCCTTGGCCGGGCCCCTCTGGCTCCTCCCTACGCCGTGGTCCTCATTTCCTGCTCTGGCCTGCTGGCCTTCATCTTCCTCCTTCTCACCTGTCTGTGCTGCAAACGGGGTGATGTTGGTTTCAAGGTGAGGTGGCTGAAGGGACTAACATGGGGAGGAAGACCCCAGCAAGACCTTTTCTCCCAACTCAGGTGGCTGGTGGAGAGGGGCAGTAAGTCCCGGAGCACATCCGGGCCTAAAGTTATGGCAGACCTGGACGCTTGAGATCTGGAAACGGGCGGAGAATGGGTTGGGATTGGGGGAATTTTGAGAAGGATGTAGGCGCAGCTCTCAGTCCGGGGTTCACCTACTCCTCACCTCTCCCGGCCCCAGGAGTTTGAGAACCCTGAAGGGGAGGACTGCTCTGGGGAGTACACTCCCCCCGCGGAGGAGACCTCCTCCTCACAGTCGCTGCCTGATGTCTACATTCTCCCGCTGGCTGAGGTCTCCCTGCCAATGCCTGCCCCGCAGCCTTCACACTCAGGTACTGCCCCACACCCAGAGAAGGATCCTACAGTCCCAAGGGACAGGGACAGAGGCCCTAAGTGTCTTCCCTTCAGGGTTCTGGGAGCTGAGACCTGAAAGGCAGGGGTGGGAGATCCCGGTTCCTGAAAGTCGCCGGGCTTCCAAAGGCAGACAGATGATCTTGGTGGGAAACCATTACTTAATCCCAAATCGGATTTGGAGATTCTTGTGGGACAATCGAGGGTGAGCTCAGCCTAGAGCTCAATCTCCACGGCAGCCAATGGGAGGCTGAAATCAAGTCATAGGAGCTTGGGAGGCCAAAGGGAAGGGATGATTGGATGCCGGAGTCTTGTGGGCAGCCAATGAGAGGCTGAGATCCTGTTGTGGAATGTTGGAGGTAGCCAATGAGAAGAGACTGGTGTCTGCTTTGACTCCGGTCCTCAGTGAGTTGGGATGGGGAAACTCGGTGGTACCCGGGAGGGGAGAGAGGCTCAGGGGTCTCCTCCTATCCCCTCCCCAGACATGACCACCCCCCTGGGCCTTAGCCGCCAGCACCTCAGCTATCTACAGGAGATTGGGAGCGGCTGGTTTGGGAAGGTGAGTGGGACTGGGGGCGGGAGGTAGGGGGTCTATAGGATCCTGGCCTGTGCTGTTCTGTGTGCACCCCTCCCCCGCTCTCACCATTTCTCATCTGTCTCTCACCTCCCTGATCCCCACGTCCCTCAGCCCACCCATCCCCCGCTGTCCACCTGTCACCTGCTTCCACCCACCCCATCCCCACATCTGTCGGTCAGCGCCTCCCTTCTCACCTCATTGACCACTTCGCCTCGCCACCCGGTTCTCCACGCGTCCGTCAGTCTGTCCATCCTTCCATCCGTCCCTGCACCCATCGGACTTTGGGCCCGTGAGTCTCTCACCCCGTGTCCCGTGGGGGACAGGGGAGGTAGGATATGAAAGAAGGGACTTCCCACTGGGAGCTGTGGGGTGGGGTGGAGCTGACTCTGGGGATGGGGGGACCTGCTGGGACACAGCCCTGTCTGACTCCTTGGTACCCATTGGCCAGGTGATCCTGGGGGAGATTTTCTCCGACTACACTCCCGCCCAGGTGGTGGTGAAGGAACTGCGAGCCAGCGCGGGGCCTCTGGAACAGAGAAAGTTCATCTCCGAGGCTCAACCCTACAGGTGCCTTGGTGGGCGTGGGTGCTGGGGCCCAAACACCAGGTTCCCCTCTGATGTCACATTTGGGAGTGGAAGGAGCCCGGTCTTGAGTCAAACCTGGCTTCAAATCCCAGATCCACCTCTTCCAGGCTGTGTGACTCTGGCCAGAAGATTTTTCCTCCTGGAGCTTTGGGTTGGTTCTGGGACACAGCTAGGGACCTGCAATCTGATGGGGGTGAGAGGAGTGGCCATGCTGAGCTAGAGGCCTGCCCCTCTCAGCTAGGACCCTCAGGATCTTTGTCTGGCAAGTGATCATCCCACAAAGAGGGCAGCTGGGACAATGCAGGATGACTCTGTGTTACTACTGGGTACTAACCCCCAGCTAGCCACTGTGGAGGTCTGTCCCATTTCCTTATAGCCACTAGATTGTGAGGTCTGGGAGAAGGACCTGTCCCCTCCCCTCCTCTCCTCTAGGATGTGGTCTGTGTAAACATTTACCAGATACTCGTGTTGGGAGGTAATGGGTTCCCCAACAAGGAAAGGGTGTCTATGCAGAGCTCCCTTGGCAGAACAGTTGTAAAAGTGGGGTTCACCCTGGGAGATACAGACATTGGACCAGGACCTCTTTGCTCCAAAGCCTCCCATGACTCCCTAGTGCTCACAATAGGCAAGTCTACCCTTTCCTACAGCCTACGGGACCCGCACAGCCTGACCCTCTTCCCTTCTCCCCACTGTCCCTCTTACCCCAGCCTCCCTGGCCTCCTCATTGGCCTCTTTCCTGCCTCTGGACCTTTGCTATGGTTCCCTTTCTCTACAGTCTCTTTCCTTGCCCACCCAGCCCTGAGCTGGGGGCTCCCTTTCACTCCTTAGGTCTCAGTTCCGAGTTTTGCCCTTACACCCTGACCCCCTGTAAAGGGGGCTCTAGAATGTTCCACAATATCATCTCTTTCTTTCTTCCTAACACGCACCCCAGTTTGTTGTTATTTTCTCTGTTGACCTACTTGTTTCTTGTCTCTCCCCAGACTGGTGCTGGCAACCGCTAGTCATATATAGCTCTTTAAATTTAATCTCACTTGGGAGGCTGAGATTGGGAGGATCGAGGTTTGAGGCCAACTGGGGCGAATAGTTCTCGAAAGACCCCATTTCCAAAATAACCAGAGCAAAATGAACTGGAGGTGTGCCTCAAGTGTGAAGTCCTGAGTTCAAACCCCAGTTCTACCCCCCCAAGAAAAAACCACAAAAAAAAACCCTTACTGTAGATGCAAGCAAATTACAACTCATTTCCCCAGGAACACTTGCCATATTTCAATTGTCCTGTGTGCCTGTGTGGCCAGTGGCCCCGTGTTGGAAAATGCAGTTCCAGAATGGCCCCCATTTCCTTGGGGATCATATACAGGCATCATCATTCCTGTCTAGCAGGACAGTGGTGAGCCCAGGTCTCCTTCTCTCTTTGTCAGCCTCAGTCTCCCAGCTGGTCATTTCTCTACCCAGACCATGGTAGATGCCTGGTTTTCAACCAAACAGGATGAAAGTCCTGGGTGGAGAAGGTCCCACAAAATAGTAGAACTGTTAAAAACAGGTGGTGGATGGCCCTGGATGCTGGCCTTAGTAGGCAAAGAAGTCACTTGCACCTGCTGGCCAGACTCTGGATGACCAGCATGAACTGCTCAATTCTCTCTCTGAGCCCCAGGCCACGCAAGAGGGTTATCCCAGTACTCTGGAGGCAGAGGCAGGAGACTTGCCAATTCCAGTCCAGCCTAGGCTGTCTCAAAAAACCAAAAGAATAAATTTTAAAAAGAGAGTCAGGTGCCAGTGATGCACACTTGTAATCCTAGCTACTCAGGAGGCAATCAGGAGGATGGAGGTTCAAGGTCAGCCCAGGCAAATAGTTCGTGAGATCCTATCTTAAAAAAACCCATCACGAAAAAAGGGCTGTTGGGAGTGACTCAAGGGTAGGCCCTGAGTTCAAACCCCGGCCTTGAAAAAAAAAAAAAAAAAGAGAGAGAGAGAGGGAGAGAGAGAATATTGGCATATCAAAAAGGCCAGGAGGAAATGAGGCAGGAAGTGATGAGACAGGGGCCTTCTGGACAGACCCTCAGGGAGACCAGGTTGATTGGTGTTTGCAATGCAAAACATCATGGGAAGTGTGTTCCAGGCAGAGGGAATGGCAGGTGCGAAGGTTGGAATAAGCTTGATGGGAGGGAGCGGCCCTGGAAATACAATTAGAATGGAGGGTGAAAATAAAGCCAAACATATGTTATTAAAATAAAAACAATAGTACTAGCGCCACCTGTAATCCCAGCATTCGGGAGGCTGAGGTAGGAGGATACAGAGTTTGAAGCCAGACTGGGCTCCATTGCCAGACCCTGTCTTAAAAAAACCAAAACAAAGCAACACAACGGTAGTAGCTAAAGCCATTTCCTCTCTGATCTCACTAACCTCTTCTCCACACCTGCATGAGGGAGTTAATACACTGCCCCATTTTTCAGATGAGGCAAACAGAGGCAGAGACAGTGAAGTAACTTACTGGAGATCACACAACTGGGAAAGGTGGAATCACGATTGAACCCCACGGTGTGAGAGTGAAGTAGGGCCTGGGGGGCTGTAAAGCTTCCAAGGGAGACAATGTGAAGTGAGGGGTTGAGGGGCCATCAGGAGGGTGACAAGGAGACGGTGTCCTCCAGAGAGAACTGGATGTGCAAAGGCTCAGAGCCTAAGCAGGGCCTGCATGTTTGGGAAAATGTACAGGGGTGAAGAGGGGCCTGGCCAGAGAGGAGGGCAGGGTCGCCAAACAGCCCAGCTCCCTCTTGGGGGCAATGGGGAGCCACAGAGGACTGTCAGCAGGTGGGTGACAGGTCAGGAACACCCTGAAGCTGGAGCTGTGGACATGTTGAGGAGGGGACAGAGAAGGCGGGGACAGGATGAACGCTGGGTGAGGAGGAGGGAGAGGCAGGGACACCTGAGGTCCGGCACTGCACGCCCTCCAGGGTGCACCTGAGATTCCACCTGGGAAGGGGAGTGCGGCTGGGGCGGGCAGAGACTCATGGTGAGCACCAAGAGGCTGAGCCGCAGTTTGGCTGGGGAGGGGGAGTCTGGGGGTGAATGGACGGCTGCTCCTGGTTCCTCCCCTTCTCTCTCCTATCTCCTCCCCTGACTCTTCCTCCTCCCATGGTTCCTCCAGTCTCCCTGGCTCCTCCCTCTTCTCTCCTGACTCCGCCTCTTCCCTGGCTCCTCCCCCTCCTCCTCTTCCCTGGCTCCTGCCCGTCCTCCCCTGGCTCCTCCTCCTCCCTTGGCTCCTGTCTCCTCTCTCATCTCCCCCCTCCTCTCTGAACTCCTTCTCTCCCCCTGGCTCCCCTTCACAGGAGCCTGCAGCACCCCAACGTCCTCCAGTGCCTGGGCCTCTGTGTGGAGACGCTGCCCTTCCTGCTGATCATGGAGTTCTGTCAGCTGGTAAGGGGCTGGGACCTGGGGGGTGGCGGGGGAGCTAGAGGAGTGAGGGAGGCAAGCCAAAGTGCTTGTGGCATCATCATCATGAGGCGTTTGGTGGCCGCACTGACATTTCTTGAGCACTTGTCACTTGGCTGCCCTGAAGTAGCGCGCAAAAGTAGATTCTGTCACTACTCCCTTCAAGCAGCAGGGGAAACTAAGGCCCCGAGAGACTGACCCTGTCCTTGCTTCGGACAGTGGCAGGGATTATGTGTGCTGACCCGTTCCTGCCTCCCTCCCAGGGAGACCTGAAGCGATACCTCCGGGCTCAGCGGCCCCCCGAAGGCCTGTCCCCTGAACTGCCCCCTCGAGACCTGAGGACACTGCAGAGGATGGGCCTGGAGATCGCCCGTGGACTGGCGCACCTGCACTCTCACAATTACGTGCACAGGTGCGCAGGCCAGGGAGCCACTGGAGGGGGCCACGGGAGGAGGGGGAAGCTAAAGGAAGGGAGGGGTTGTGAGTGACTGGCACAAAACCCTGGAGGGACCAGAGAGGGAATCCAGAGAATGGCCCAGGGGAAGGAGAAGCAGGAGTCAGGAAAGGAGGAGCGGCCAGGAGAGGAGGGGTAGAACTAGGAAAGGGGGAGCCAATGAAGGAGGAGGAGTCAGAAGGGGAGGGGCCAGGAGAGGAGAGGGAGGAGTCAGGGGAGAAGGAGGCAGGACCTGGGGGAGGACTCAGGAGAGGAAGGGGAAGGGCCAGGAGTTGAGTGGGGGGGCCCTGGTGTAGGGGAGGAGCCAGAAGGGGTGTGGTCAGGAGAGAAGGAGGAGTCCGGAAAGGAAGGAGTCAGCAGGGGGAGGGGCCAGGAGAGAAGGGGCGATGCCAAGAGGAGGGTCAGGAGAGGAAAAGGAGGAGTCAGAGAAGGAGGGAAAGAGGCATGGGTAGGCAGAGGAACCAGGGGAGCAATGAGAAAAGCCGTGGAGAAGTCAGAGATGTGGGTGTGGAATGGTAGGGGCCTCTGTTGCTCACCACTCCCCCCCCACCCCGCCCCTCTCCAGCGACCTGGCGCTGCGTAACTGCCTGCTGACATCCGACCTCACCGTGCGCATCGGGGACTACGGGCTGGCGCACAGCAACTACAAGGTGGGGCTGCCTCCAGTGGGCGTGAGGGCGGGGGGGGGCCCATGGGGTGCCCTGACCCGCCTGACCCGCCGCGCCTGGCCTGTCCCCAGGAGGACTATTACCTGACACCTGAGCGCCTGTGGATCCCGCTGCGCTGGGCTGCCCCCGAGCTCCTGGGGGAGCTGCACGGGACCTTCATGGTGGTGGATCAGAGCCGCGAGAGCAACATCTGGTGAGGGGTCGCGCATGGGAAAACTGGGTCCGACCGGGGGAGAACCCCCGAGGGTCCTGGCTGGGCTGAGTCCTCTGTGCCCCTCTGCTTTCGCAGGTCTTTGGGGGTGACCCTGTGGGAGCTGTTTGAGTTTGGGGCACAGCCCTATCGCCATCTGTCAGACGAGGAGGTCCTCGCCTTTGTCGTCCGCCAGCAGCACGTCAAACTGGCCCGGCCAAGACTCAAGCTGCCCTATGCAGACTACTGGTTAGGGGAGGCCCTGACCCCTGACCTTTCCCATGTCACCCCAAGATGGTCCCAGCAGCCCCACTCCCTTCACATACCATCCACAATCTCATTTGTCCCTAATGTACCCCCAAGAGGGGAGAGGGGACATCCTCACCCCTCTGCCAGCAAATGCTACTTGGGGGAGGGAAACTGAGTCAGGGAGTGGCAGAGCTGGGATTTGGGCTGCCCTTGTCGATTCCAGAACTCACAGCCCAAATAGGGACATCACCCTTTCCTCACATCCACATGTCTTCTCCAGACCTCTGGGGCTCTGTCTCCCCTGTCTCTGGGACTCTGTCCCCCTCTCTGGTCTCTCTCTTCCGTCTCTCTGGGGCTCTGTTCCCTCTCTGGGGCTCTGTCCTGCTTACTCTCTCCTCTCCCCTGTTCCTCAGGTATGACATCCTGCAGTCCTGCTGGAGGCCACCTGCCCAGCGCCCCACGGCCTCGGATCTCCAACTGCAATTAACCTACCTGCTCTCTGAGCGGCCCCCCAGACCCCCACCACCTCCACCTCCACCCCGAGATGGTCCCTTCCCCTGGCCCTGGCCCCCCTCGCACAGTGCACCCCGCCCAGGAACACTGTCTTCGCCTTTCCCCCTTCTGGATGGCTTCCCTGGGGCCGACCCTGATGACGTGCTCACGGTCACCGAGAGCAGCCACGGCCTCAACCTCGAGTGTCTGTGGGAGAAGGCAAGGCGGGGAGCTGGCCGAGGTGGGGGGGCACCTCCCTGGCAGCCAGCGTCTGCGCCTCCAGCCCCCCATGCCAACCCCTCGAACCCTTTTTACGAGGCACTGTCCACACCCAGCGTTCTGCCTGTCATCAGTGCCCGCAGCCCCTCTGTGAGCAGCGAATATTACATCCGCCTGGAGGAGCACGGCTCCCCGCCCGAGCCCCTCTTTCCCAACGACTGGGACCCTCTGGACCCAGGCGTGCCAGCCCCTCAGGCTCCCCAGGCCCCCTCCGAGGTCCCCCAGCTGGTGTCCGAGACCTGGGCTTCCCCCCTCTTCCCTGCGCCCCGGCCCTTCCCGGCCCAGTCCTCAGCATCAGGAAGCTTCCTGCTGAGTGGCTGGGACCCCGAGGGCCGGGGCGCCGGAGAAACCCTGGCGGGAGACCCTGCCGAGGTCCTGGGGGAGCGAGGGACCGCCCCATGGGCCGAAGAGGAGGAGGAGGAGGAAGAAGAGGGCAGCTCCCCGGGGGAAGACAGCAGCAGCCTTGGGGTGGGGCCCAGTCGCCGGGGCCCACTCCCCTGTCCCCTGTGCAGCCGCGAGGGCCCCTGCTCCTGCCTGCCACTGGAGCGGGGGGACGCTGTGGCTGGTTGGGGGGGCCACCCTGCCCTTGGCTGTCCCCACCCCCCAGAAGACGACTCGTCCCTGCGGGCAGAACGGGGTTCCCTGGCCGACCTGCCCCTGGCCCCCCCTTCGTCGGCCCCCCCCGAGTTTCTGGACCCCCTCATGGGGGCCGCAGCACCCCAGTACCCCGGGCGGGGACCACCTCCCGCTCCCCCCCCCCGCCGCCACCTCCCCGGGTCCCCGCGGAACCGGCCGCGTCCCCCGACCCCCCGTCGGCCCTGGCCAGTCCAGGCTCAGGCCTGTCGTCACCGGGCCCCAAGCCGGGGGACAGCGGCTACGAGACCGAGACCCCTTTTTCCCCCGAGGGAGCCTTCCCAGGTGGGGGGGCAGCCGAGGAGGAAGGGGTCCCTCGGCCACGGGCTCCCCCCGAGCCACCCGACCCAGGAGCGCCCCGGCCACCCCCAGACCCGGGTCCCCTCCCACTCCCAGGGACCCGGGAGAAGCCAACCTTCGTAGTTCAAGTGAGCACCGAGCAGCTGCTGGTGTCTCTGCGGGAGGATGTGACAAGGAACCTCCTAGCGGACAAGGGGGCAGCGTCCCGGGGGACAGGACCCAGGAAGGCAGGGAGAGGTCCCGGGAACAAAGAGAAAGTCCCAGGCCTGAGCAGAGACCAGGCAGTCCTGGGCAGCGGGAAGAAAGCCCCGTGCCTGAGCCTCCCCGTGAACGGAGTGACAGCGCTGGAGAACGGGGCCCAGAGAGCCCCGGGCATCGAGGAGAAGGTGGTCGAGAATGGGGGCCTGGGATCCCCAGAGAGAGACGAGAAAGTGCTGGAGAATGGGGAGCTGACGCCCCCAAGGAGGGAGGAGAAAGCCCTGGAGAATGGGGAGCTGAGGTCCCCAGAGGCCGGGGAGAAGGTGCTGGCGAATGGGGGTCCGATGCCCTCAAAGAGCGAGGAGAAGGCGTCCGAGAATGGGGGCCCGAGATTCCCCAGGAGCACGGAGAGGCCACCAGAGACTGGGCCTTGGAGAGCCCCAGGGCCTTGGGAGAAGACGCCCGAGACTGGGGGTCCAGCCCCAGAGACCTCCCTGGAGAGAGCCCCTGCCCACGGCGAGGTGGCCTCGCCCCAGAACGGCTTGGAGACGGTCCCTGGCCCACGTGGCCCAGTCCCCAAGAGCGGGATGCTGGAACCCGGGACCGAGAGGAGAGCCCCCGAGACTGGGGGGGCGCCGAGAGCCCCAGGGGCTGGGAGGCTGGACCTCGGGAGTGGGGGCCGAGCCCCAGTGGACGTGGGGATGGTCCCCGGCGGCGGCCCCGGAAGCGACGTGGACGCAAAGGTCGGATGGGTAGACAGCACGAGGCCACAGCCATTGCCACCGGAGACCCAGCCGAGGAGGCAGGAGCCAGTGCCCCTGAGATCCAGGCCGGAGGTGGTCCCCGAGGGAGACCCCGGGGTCCCAGACAACAAGGCCGGAGGAGACATGGCACCCAGCGGAGACGAGGACCCCCCCAAATCCGAGAGGAAGGGCCCCGAGATGCCACGACTGTTCTTGGACTTGGGACCTCCTCAGGGGAACAGCGAGCAGATCAAAGGTGAGGTTTGTGGGGAGACCTTGGAGGTGTGGGGTGCGGTTGAGGTCAGGCTGGAGGTGGTAGGTATGGCAGGTTGTGTGAATGCACACCACCTGGGTGCAATCCCAACTCTGTTCCTCCCTCTCCCTGCAACCTTGGGTGACAGTCCTTACTGCTCTGAATGAATGACAGGGACAGCACATAAGCGGCCATGAGGGTAATGCAAGTGAAGGAAGACCAAAGCACTTAGCCTACGGCCTGCAACACATTTGGGACCTCCTTTTTGTCACTGTAGTCCATTTGGAACAGGGGTCTTAAAGTCAGATGCCCACAGGGGCCAGGCAGTATTGGGAAACAGAAAAGCACTGGGGAAGGGGAGCTGGGGGTGAGGAGAAAATGTCCTGTCTTAGGGACAGCTGTGTCTCAGGCAGCCCACCCAGTGTTGCCAGTTGAACCAGCACTTGCTGGTTTTTTGACCAGAAAAATTCAAAGGAAACCCCTCATGGGGAGCAGTCAGGGCCCCAGATTGGCAGGTGTGGTGTCTGGTTTAAACTTTTCAACAAGCTGAGAGCTCTCTCCAGTGTTCAGGCCCTGGGCCACCCATGGCTGGGCTCCAGGATGGCTGAGACCTGGCCCTGTGCCACTTCTGTGTGCTCAGGGCCTGGGGATGTGGCCATAAATGAGCCAGACAGTGTTCTGTGGCCAGGTGGACACTAGCTGCACTGCCACAGACCTGCAGTGCATGCAGTGATCTGAGCCGGTGTGGCCAGAGCAGGTGCACCTGACTCCTGGAGGTCACACAAGGCTCTGACACCCCAGAGGGGCAGGGCTTGCAGGACAAAAAGGAGTTCCAGGCAGATGGAATAGCATATGCAAACGCTTAAGAGGCGCGAAGAATGGGGAGGCCACCCATGTGGATAGAATGAAGTGGGGACAATGGCTGGAGATGTCAGTTGGGCCAGGACACCCGGGTCTGATGGGCTGTGGGGAGAAGCTGGGCTTTATGCTTTGGGTACTGGGGAGCCATGGTGAGATAAGCAGTGGAGCTGGGGAGAGAGCTTTCCCATCCTGCATGGAGAAAGACCCCCCCCGTACAGCCCTTCAGTTCACGGGATTGGCGCGGGAGTGCGGGGTTACCTGAGGACACGCAGCTAAGAGCGAGGGCCTGCCTCAGTTTCCCCGGGACAGGAGCTCACCGGTCTCTCCTCTCGCAGCCAAGCTCTCCCGGCTCTCGCTGGCGCTACCGCCGCTCACGCTCACGCCGTTCCCGGGGCCGGGCCCGCGGCGGTCCCCGTGGGAGGGCGCGGACGCCGGGGCGGCTGGCGGGGAGGCCGGCGGGGCGGGGTCGCCGGGGCCGGCGGAGGAGGACGGGGAGGACGAGGACGAGGACGAGGAGGACGAGGAGGCAGCGGGCGCGGCGGCGGGGCCGCGGGGCTCCGGGAGGACGCGGGCAGCCCCGGTGCCCGTCGTGGTGAGCAACGCCGACGGGGACGCGGCCCGCCCGCTGCGGGGGCTGCTCAAGTCTCCGCGCGGGGCCGACGAGCCCGAGGACAGCGAGCTGGAGAGGAAGCGCAAGATGGTCTCCTTCCACGGGGACGTGACCGTCTACCTCTTCGACCAGGTGGGTCGCCCGGGAGGGCGCGGGTCCCTGCAGCAGGGCATGGCGTGGAGCGGGAGCGAGCCTTGGGGGGCGGGGCCGGGGCGGAGCGGACCGGCCGAGTGGGCGTGGTCTTGGAGAGATTGACAAGGGCGGTGGGGAGGGGACTGTGATGGGGAGGAGTCTGGAGAGTCAGAGGAGGCCTGACTGGAAACAAAGGGAGGAGCTTAGAGAGGGTAAGAGGAAAGTGTTGAGAAGAGGATTAGGGCGTGGTCTGGGCCCTGGGGGCGGAGCCTAGTCACACCCAGGAGGCTTAAGCGATGCAGCAGGCCTGGTGTGGTGGTGCACGGCTGTAATTCCAGCATTCAGGAGGCAGAGGGCAGAATATTCCAAGTCAGTCTGGGCTGTAAGCCCAGAGAGACCAAAAAATGACAAAAAAAGATATGTCTGGTAGTTTTTTAAGACTTTGGGGTGGACTCAGGAATAGTTGGAACTAATGTGGATGAGTCATAGAGTGTTGGGTTGAGAATTGTGTTAATAGTAACTGGAGTAGGCCATGCCTGTAATCCCAGCACTTGAGAGGAAGAGGACCAAGATCGTGAGTTCAAGGCTACATATTAAGACCCTGTCTCAAAACAAACGAACAAAAACCACACAGCAGGGCGCTAGTAACTCGCATCTGTAATCCTAGCTACTTGGGAAGTTGAGATCGGGAGGATCCAGGTTAAAGGCCAGCCCAGGCAAATAGTTCTCCAGACCCCATCTCCAAAATAACCAGAGCAAAATGGGTTGATGGAGTGGCTCAAGTGGTAGAGTGCCTGCTTTGCAAGTGCAAAGCCCTGAGTTCAGTCCCACCAGAAAAAAAGTAACCCAGTCGGAGGGGATAGAGTTCTAAGAGGAAAATGGGCGTGGCAGTGCCCATGGACTAGGAGCATGTCCAGATGATCCTGGGCGAGGTTGTAAGGTGAACGAGAAGATGGCCAAGAGCTGGGCCAGGGCCACTACATCAAGGGGATGGGACTTGGAGTGGGCCACATCTGAAGGCGGGGCATGGGGCACAGGAGCGGAATCATCACATCCACATCCTGGGGCGGGATGTGTGCAGGCTGGGGTAGAAGTTTGGACTGAAGGGCCATAGGGACAGGTACTTCTGGGCTCCAAAATTGGACAACTGCAGTTCATATCTGGGAGGTACATGGGACTGACAGACACGGGCAGGGCTTACGAGATCGTGTTGGGTAGGGGCTCTGGTGCAGGTAGTACGATAAGGAAAGACTGTAGTGGGCGGGGCTTGTGTCAAGTAAAAACCCTCGTCCGGGTTGAGGTTAAGGCTGGCCCAATGCTTCGAAGGCAGATCGGTGCTCCCAGTCACCTCTCCAGAGAGCGCGAGTCACTGATTATAAACTGGAGCTCCTGAAGCCCAGAAATGTTACTTGTAGGGGAGGCAGCGAGTGCGACGTGACTGATTTGCCTTCACAGGAGACGCCAACCAACGAGTTGAGCGTCCAGGGCCCTCCAGAGGGGGACACAGACCCATCAACGCCCCAAGCGCCCCCGACGCCTCCCCACCCCGCCACCCCCGGAGATGGGTTTCCCAGCAACGACAGCGGCTTTGGTGAGGGCGGGGCCGAGGAGGGGCGGGGCCTTGAAGAGGGCGGATCCGGGGAGGGGTGAGGTCTGGGGGGGGAAGGGGCGTGGTCTAGAAGGAAGGGGCGAGGTCTATGCTAATGAAAATCGGCTAGGAGGGGAGTCCCGTGGCCTAGGGGAGAGCGTGGTCTATGCGAGATGGGCGCGGTCTATAGAGGTGCGCGTGGCCTAGGGTGGAGGGGCGTGGCCTGGGCGGGGCACGAGCTGGAGCCGGCTCCTGGCACGTCTGAGGGTCTGGCTCTTCCTCCTCCAGGAGGCAGTTTCGAGTGGGCGGAGGATTTCCCCCTCCTCCCCCCGCCCGGGCCCCCCCTGTGCTTCTCCCGCTTCTCCGTCTCGCCTGCGCTGGAGACCCCGGGGCCCCCCGCCCGGGCCACCGACGCCCGGCCCGCAGGTACTGTGCTTCCGGCCCGGTCCTGTCCCCACCTCCACGTGTCTCCGTCCCCAGCTGTTAACCCCCTTTGCAAACCATCTCTAAATCTCTCTGCCTCTCATTTCTCTCTCTTCCTTCCTCACTGCTCACACCCCACCCAGCTCTCCATCTTCGGTGCTCACACCCCTCTGATCCTCGATTTCCCCACGCACACACTGTTGCCCATTTCTGGGCTGAGACTCCTAGTTGGATCCTAATCCCACCTCCGTTTGTGGGGACACGAAACTAGCTGGCAGGACAGGGCCAGAGTCCAGTAACAGTTTCAGCTACTGAAATCACGCAGCAGTCCCGGGGACCCCGCCATGTGCCCGCTACATTTTAACACATTTAGTCCTCTCTGTGATCTCTGAAGTGGATGCTAATCTCGTCCCCATCTTAAATAGGGGAAACTGAGGCACGGAAAGAACTAAGAAGCCAGGATTCAAATCTCCCCCGCTGTGGGCTCTCTCCAGTAGTCAGCTTCCTCTCCCGTGTCGTTTCACATGTGCTGTGTCGCCAGTCCTCACATTCACTGTGGGAGGGGGTCGGGGGTTACCCTTGAGGCTGACTGTGCGGGAAGCTAAGGCCACTGAGAGGGCGCAGGCCAGTGTCACCTGGGGTTGGACAAGCTCTCTGCTGCCCCCTGCTGCCCATATAGAGAACAGCCCAAGATGCAGGGCCTGAGCTGACCTGGCCGCTGGTGTGTTCCACGGAACAGCTGAGCAGGGAGCAGATGCAACCAGGCCTCTCATGGGGTTCCATTCCTATCCCCTAAGTCCTGCCTGAGTCCAGGTGTTGGCCCTACCTTTTTTTTTGGAGACACGGTCTCGCTATGTAGCCCAGGCTGGCCTAGAACTCTCAATCCTCCTGCTTCTGCCTTTCAAGTGCTGGGATTACAGATGTGCAACACCACGCCTGGCTTGGTCCTGCCATGTCTCGGTTGGGTGACTTGGGGCAAATCACTTTCCCTCTCTGCTTCAGTGTCCTCATCTGTAGAGCAGGTATATGATGGTAGCGACCATCGCCTCGCAGTGTTGAGGACATTCAATGGCATGATTCTCCTGTATGCACCCGGGAGCCTGACCATGCAGCGGTGGTCTGTAACCATGAGCTGTCACTGCTACGTCGACGTTTGTTGAGGATGAGCTGTCCAGGCAGTGGGTAAACCTGTCCTGGGGTGCTCAGGAGCCATAGAGGACTGTAAGCAGGGGAGGGCCGCGGGCAGAGATTGACCCCTCTGGGGCCACATGGAGGCTGAGGGGGGACAGAGTGGAGTCTGGGTGGCTGGGTAGTGATGGGGAGAAACTTATGAGCTGTGCTCTGGAGACAAACAGGAGCAGAAGGGCACAGTCAAGGGCAGGAGGGAGGGGCTGTGGCTGACTCTTCACTTGGCTGTCTCCCCAGGCCTCACCCCAAATGCCACTTCCTCGCTGACACCCCCATCTTGGGTCCCCCACGAGGACAGGGTGGGGTGCATCCAGGATGTAGGGACACTGGCCAAATGGTGAGTCAGGGCTGAGGCTGGCAGGACTGGCCAGCAAGAATGACCTCACCCTTAGTCACCAGGAGCCGAGACAGAGGGCCCAGTCGTGTGAAACCTCAAATCCTGGCACTCAGTCCAAAATAGTCCTTCTGTGGAGATCTGGGAAGCTACTGAGCCCACCTGTCTCCCCAAATCATGCCAGAGAGACCCATCATGGGCGCCCTCTTTGGTGCTCAGCACACACTGCTGTCCACCTAACAGATGTTTGCTGGGTGCTGAGTGGTGCCACATAGACCAGAATCACCTACTCCTTTGAAAAGGAGCCAAGGGAAGCCGGGAGTGGTGGTAGCTGCTTGTAATCCCAGCACTCAGGAGCCTGAGGTTGGAGTATCTCAAGTTCCAGGCCAGCCTGGGCTACATAGTGAGACCCTGACTCAAAAAAAAAAAAAAAAAAAGGGTGGGGCGCTGATGGCTCATGCCTGTAATCCCAGCTAATCAGGAGGCACAGATCAGGAGGATCCTGGTTTGAAGCCAGCCGGGGCAAAGAGCTCAAGAGACCTATTTAAAAAAAAAACAAAACAAAAGAAACCACACACACCAAAAGGGCTAGGGATTTGACTCAAGTGGTAGAGCGCCTGCCTAGCAAGGGTAAAGGCCTGAGGAGTTCAAACCCCAGTACTGCTCTCCTCCAGAAAAAAAAAAAATAGGAGTAGAGGGCCATGTTTCCCATTTAAAGAGGGAAACTGAGGCTCAAGGATATGGACCTGATCTCGGACCCCTGGTGAGACACGCAGGGTGGGACTGGGTGGCCCTTGGCAGAACCTTCATCACGCTGGCCTTGGCTTCAGACCGGGCTTTTGTTTCACCTGGGGAGGCCCGAGGATGGGTCATGGGCACACTTGATGGGAGGTTTACCTGGAGAAGGGCACTTTGTGACACGCTGGACTCCAGGGACACAGCAGTGACCACAGCTCCTGTCCTCAGTGAGCTTAGGTTATGTAGGAGATAGCAGGCAGGGAGCTCTTCCACGATAACTGAGTTATGAGAAACATGAGAAAAAATAATTAGAGGGAAGCGAGTGAGACCGTGGGGTGTCCAGGGGACTAGGGTGACTCAGAATGGTTGGAAAGGCCTGTGAGCTTCCCCGGCAAGAGCAGTCCAGGCAGCAGGAACAGCAAGTGCAAAGGCTCTGGGCTCCAATTGTGTTTGGAGCCTTGGAGACCAGTGTGGCTGGAATGGAGAGAAGAGTGGGTGAGGACAGAGGGGACCAGGTGGAAGGGGGGACTTGTGGGCTACAACCAGGGCTTTGCTCTCTTTCTGAGTGAGCCAGAAGCTGTGAGCCTGGGTCTTGTGAACTCATGTCTTCCTCTACTGTCCTCCCTCAGGCCCCGTGGAGAACTGACTCCCCAAAGACCTGAACCCCCAGCACCCCCAGAAGAGATGTTGAGAGTAGAATCCTGTGTGGATGAAGGGGTCACTGATACCGCTGCAGATGCCACCGCCTCCGGGGAGGCCCCTGAGACTGGGCCCTCCCCCTCCCCCACCACGTGCCAAACGGGAGGCCCCGGTCCCCCTCCTCCAAGTCCCCCGGATGGCTCCCCCGATCCCTCGGACCCCCTCGGTGCCACATGAGGCAGGAAGCCCCTTGCCCTCCCTGGAGAGCCTCCTTCTTGGACCTGAACTGAACTCTTTTGGGCCTGGAGCCCTCGGCACAGTGGAGGTTCCTCACCCACTCCTGGCCCCACGCGGGTCGCAGGCTTTGGGGACTTGGACCCCCCATCTTGCGTCTCCCCTGCCCTCCCAGCCTGGCCCCTGGAGGGGCCTCCAGTTCAAACCTTCGCGTGGCATTTTCACATTATTTAAAAAAGACAAAAATGACTTTTTTGGAGGAAAGTGGGCCTGTGTGTGTTTGGGGAGGTGGGCCACCAAGATGACACCCATGCCCTAGGGACAGGATGCTTTCTTTTCTTTGTGACCCTTCTGACCTGACCCTTCAACAGGCGACAAGGAGCTGGGGAAGGGGCAGCTGTGTCTGGTTCCCACAAGTGACCGGTGGTGGGAACCGAATGCTGTCTTGGTGAGGGCGGGGGGTGTCAGGTGGGTGACAGCTCCAAGGTGATCAGCTGAGGTCCACATTGGACCACCACAGCATCCAGTGCCTCTCAGATCCCCACCAAGGTCAGGGTTGACCTCCATGCCCTCAGTGGCCCTGCCTCAGTTTACCCATAATTCCATGTGATCCCTCCATTCAACCTCACCCTATCCCTTTGCACATGACCCTGGGCTCCCCAGATTCCCTGCCCAGTGGGTCTCTGCCCTGGGTTTGCTTGTCTCCATCCGGGGCTTCTCCGCAGCCTCCTGCTCCCTGTGGAATTCTGTCTGCTTCCTTGTCTGGGTTCTGCCCCGTGGATCATGGAGACTCAAGCATAGGAATTAAGGTGAGAGGGGCATTAGGGCCACGTGCAAATCCTCCAGGCTAGGGGACAGAGAGGGAGAGGGAACAGGTTCCCCATTCACCATTCTGTTTGCTCCTGCACATGTGCTAAGTCAGCCTGAGGCCCACTGCAGGGGGACACACAACTCCAGCACAGAGGGTACCCTGGTCTGAGGGAGGAGGGCTGGGCCTGGACCCCTGGGTCTGAGGGAGGAGGGCGGGGGTCTGGACCCCTGGGTCTGAGGGAGGAGCTTGGGGCTCAATCATGGGATCTGGAGAACAGATGTATCAGTTTCACTAGCGCTAACGTAACAAAGTACCTCAAATTCGGTGGCTTTACCACAGAAATTTAGTGCCCTTGGGAGGCTAGAAGGCCAAGATTGGCCTGGAGGTATGACTCAAGCAGTAGAGCACCTGCATTGCAAATGCAAAGCCCTGAGTTCAAACCCCAGTCCCACTAGAACAAAACCAAATAGAAGGCCCGTTTTCTTGTGAACACTGCAAGGGAAAATGTGTTCTATGTGTTTCCAAACCTGCCTTCTGATGGTTTGCTGATTTTTTAAGTACCTTTATTCCATTTGCTTTTTCTCTTTCCTATCTTCCTTCTTTTTCTAGTACCTAAACCCCTTCTTTTTAAATTAAAAAAAAAATTTTTTTTTGCAGGACTGAGTTTTGAACTCAGGGCTTTGCACTTACAAAGCAGGGGCTCTTCTGCTTCAGCCACACCTCCAGTCCACTTACCTGTGGTTATTTTGGAGATGGGATCTCCCCAACTATTTGCCTGGGCTAATCTCAAACCTCGATCCTCCTGATCTCAGCCTCCCAAGTAGCTGGGATTACAGGCGTGAGTTACTGATGCCTGGCTTTACATTTTTTAAAATTAACATACGTGAATAATGCGAAGGGATTGCACTGTGGTAATGCTGCAGGTGCGTAGTGTACTATGAACAAGCTCACCCTTCCACTATATTCCTATTCCTATGACCCGCACCCCCTTGTGCTGGTGACCTTTGGCCTTTCTCTGTTCTTAGGTCCTTCACCCCAGCTCTGCCTTGATTTCCGTCTGTCCTTTTGACCAAGCCTGCCCCTCTAGAAGGACACCAGTGATGCTGGATCGGGGCCCTCTCTAATGACCTCATCTTAACTAATTTTATTTGTGGTAGCCAGTTTTCTAAGTATGATCACATTCTGACGCTAGGGACTTTACGTTTGGAAGGAGGGGCAATTAAATGTGTAAAAAGGGGATTGGGGACTTTGGGATCCTAGGTGAAGAGGAAGCTGGCACCCAGAATCTCAATACTTGGCAGAAGAGGGATCAGGGCAAAGGGAAGGACAATTTTGAGGTGACAGTGGTCTGGTTTGAATGTTCTACGGGCTTCTCTTGCTTAATTTGCCCCAAACAGACTTGCTGACCCCTCCAAAAGACATCCCTTTGGACCACTCAGTCAATGGCATTGCCCCTCAGTTGCCCAGCCTTCACCCAGTCCAGGTGACATCTTGTCCGGAGCCTGTGACTTCGGTGCCATCTCTCCACCTCTGCGGCCATGGTCCCCACCTGCCTGTGTCCCTCTCCTGACATCATCCTGCTCCCCATCGCCCCTCTGTCCTGTCCCCACGGCCCTGGGGATACCCACCTTCCCGAGACCCCTTTCCCAGGACTTCTGAGTGAACGACTCTGCTTCCCTGGGAACTTCATTTCTCACCAACCCCGGGGCGAAGCAGGCGGGCCTCTTTCCCAACCTCCACAGAGCACGAGACATAGCAAAGGTAAACCCCACAGCCCAGCCTTGAGAAACTACAGCTCCCAGGAGGCTCTGCGGCAGGCGGGAGCCGCGCAGCTTGCCCGGAGCGGTGGTCCGACGCTCTTGGCTACCGGCCGCACCCTTAATTGCGGCAGTGCTGCCATCGCACCAAGAGGGGCTCCCCATGCAAGGTTTTCTGGGGTCTAAGACGCAGCCAAGGCTCAGACGTCACCAATGCTCTGCCAGCGCACCTTATAACCTGGAGTTCAGCTTGGTCAGGACGCCCGAGAAACTACAACTCCCGGCAGTCCACCGGGCAGCAAGCCCTACATCCTGAAGCATGCCGGGAGTTGTAGTTGCTCCAGCAACCAGCTCACAGTTTCACAGCTCACACCTGTAATCCCAGCAGTCCTGAGACTTTAAGGCAGAGTGAAGAATTCCAGGACTACATAAACAAGTTCGGGAAGCCTGAACTTAAGAGAGGTGGTCTTTAAGGAAAAACAAAAACACTTCTAAACTGCAAAGGCGGACATGGGAGTGACATCCGACCCGCAAGCATCGGAGTACACAGAGGACAGTCAATTCTGGACTTACGGCTACCGAACACCAAGAGTCACCTTCAAGGGGGCAGGCAGCACACTTCTGAGACTGTCACATGCCCGGGGAAGATACTGAAGACACACGTCAGCCCTTTGATACAAAATGTCACCAAGGGAGGCTGAACGTCTGGTGTGGGAGAAGCCTGGCTCCAAAGCACTGGCTCATAGTGCCTCCAAGGCCCCCAAAAGCTGCCCCACAGAGCCCCACGGTGCCAGCTCATACCCCTCAGAAGACCTGATGACTACACAGCTCTGGCTCCAGGTATCCAGGCCAGCCTCCCCCTCCTCGGGGCGCCCCCTCCCTGAGCAGGTCTTTATTGCCCTCCAGCTCCAGCCTCTCTTGCTCACAGCCCCTCAAAACCATAGGCCCCAGCAGGTGGCACATCTAGATGTACAGCACATCTAGAATGAATGCTGTATCCCAACTCTAAACACCACCCCAAGGGCATCAGCCAGTTTCAACCCAACCCTTACCCCCATCACCTGTGAGCTACCCACATTTCGTCACTGTCGGGTCCTGACTTGACGTGAGTCAAGTGGATGGAACAGAGAGAGCATCCCAATTGCCACCCCAAGAAATGAGGGGTCTACAGGCGCGAGACGTTAAATAATTAATAAGATTACCAACAGTGTGTTAATTACAAACAGGGAGAGGAGCCGGAGGAGTGGACTTTCCAAGCGGGGACCCAGGATCCACAGCCCCAGGGCCCAGGGGTCCGGCCACCCGGGCAGGCGGGGCAGCTCCAAAATAAATAATGGACTCAGGATGGGGGTCAGGGCTGCTCCTGCTTCTTCTTCACGGAAATCCGCTTCTTCCTCGCTGCCAGCATCTCATAGAATGGGTCCACACTCACGGCTGCCCTGAAGAGAGCGAGGGTCCAGGATGAGGGTGGAGGAGTGAGACCCCAGCCCTCCTCCCTGGGAGCCAGGGGTCCAGGCCCAGCCTCCTCCCCCAGAGCAGGTTGGACCCTGCCCCTGGGCGCCGCTCACTGGATGGACTTGATCCACTCCTCCTTCTCCTCCTGCGTGGGTGCGGAGATCCGGTAGACCATGTGGTTGCCCTCCACCACGCGGCCGTCCGCCTCCGTCTTGCAGGCCTTGATGAGCTGCCCCTTGTTATTGGGGATGTAGAGCTCGAAGCAGTTCTGCGGGCGAAAAGGACCGCGGGTGAGAGGGGACCGCAGATAAGAGGTGGTGGGCGTGGGCAGGCCTGGCGCATCTTACTGGTTTCCGGGGATCGTCCACCTCACGGATGCTCAGATTCTCCAGTGGGATGATTCCTCGGGGCTCCTTGTCCTGCAGAAGCAAGGCGGAGGGCGCTCAGGCGTTGTGGTCATCCCGGGGGCAGGGCCCCCACAACCCCTGGCCACACGCACCCCGCACTCACCGTGGTGTACTCGAAGTAGTAGAGGCAGTTGTCTGTGAGGATGAACCAGCGCCGCTTCCATGTCTTCACCCGACCCCCTGCAACGGAAGGGGCGGGAGGGGGCCGGGCTCAGCGGTGGGACAGGGCTGGGGGGGGAGGGGGGGAATGCGGAACAGAGCAGGAAAGGTAGGGCTGTCAGGGTCTAGTGCAAAGACAGCGCATGGGAAGACAGACGAACAGGGAGAGGCTGTGTGGGCCCCAGGAATCGGTCCACCCCCAGCACCGGGCCCTCACTGTCTAAGCCGTCAGCCCAAGCCCCCTCCCTGTGGGTCGAGGCAGGGCTGCCCCCTCCCCAGGCCTGCTGTGGGGGCGAGGCCGGCCGTGTACCTACCTCCTGGGGCAGACAGCGAGAAAGCAGGCGGGACCAGGTGCGGAAGGGAAGGCAGAATGGGGGGCCCCCAAGAGCCGCAGCGACAGAAATAGGATGGGGAGGGCAGGATGTAGCGCGGGGCGGGACAGATAGACACAGCAAGACAAATAGGCAGAGAGAGGGAGGGAGAGAGAGGAAGAAAACCAGTTACATCCACATGGGGGAGGGATGGCCACAGCCTCTCCCTGCTGGGGAGGCCCAGGACCCCTAGCCCAGCTGCAGCCAGGAGCACCTGGCCACCAAGATCAGCTGCCCCCGCCCCCAGGGTGCATCCTCGGTCTAACCACGAGGGTCCTCTGTGGCAATGACAGCCATCTCTGACCCCTAGGCCCCCATTCCCAATCTGAGGTAGGCCACTGTGGGGCCTCATTTCAGATCTCCGCTCCAGCACAGGCTTGCTGCGTAACCTCAGGACGCTCCCTTGCCCTCTCTGGACCCCAGCCTGCAGACTCACTTGGGCCTACCCCATCCTGAAGCAAAATGAGCTGCTCCTGGCTTCCTTGGAGCCCAGAGGATGAACTAGAGACAGTCACAAATAAGGGCTTTCAGAAGCCATCAAGGTGAGGACCAACAGATCTGTCTAGCAGCTGAGGGCCGGGACTGGGCCTCAGATTCCCCAGTTGGGGGATGGAAGAAGTCCTGTTAGCAGAAGCAGCTCTGAGGGCTGTTACTGGTGAAGCTGCCATCTTGCTCCTCTTGGCCCAGCGACACCATTCCTTTCTGGGGGATCTACACTGCACCAGCCCTGCCTGAATCCTGGATCCTGTGTAGGTGCCCTGACTGGGTGCTGGCTGGCAAGGGTGATGTGTGCTGGACACATGCCCCCAACCCTTTTGAAATACATTTTTATATTTTTTTCGGTGCTGGAGTTTGAACTCAGGGCCTACACCTTAAGCCACTCGACCAGCCCATGTACTTTGTTTTTGAAGCAGGGTGTCGCTACGTGGCTCAGACTGACCACAAACTCGAAATCCTCCTGCTTCCACCTCCCAAGTGCTGAGATTACAGTGTGTACCACCGAGCCCATCTGCAACGTGTACTTCTGCAGTTACTATGCCACCAGAATACTTGCTTTAACAGCACAATTCTGAGCCAAGAGCTGGTGGCTCAAGCCTGTAATCCTAGCTACTTGGGAATCTGAGATCGGGAGGATCCTGGTTTGAGGCCAGCCCAGGCAAATAGTTCATGAGACCCCCTTTCCAAAATAACCAGAGCAAAAAATGGACTGGAGGTGTGGCCCAAACTGCAAAATGCCTGTAGGTGCAAAGCCCTGAGTTCAAACCCCAGTCTCGCATTTAAAAACAAAACAAAACAAAACACAGTTTTGTACAGTGTGGCCCCACGTCCACAGGGAAGCCCCCACCCCCTCCCCGCTGCCCAGGGCCAGAAGTGTCACCACTGGCTGGTTGGTCACTCCCCAGAGCTGTGTGCTACCAACGGTCCAGTAAAACCACATCTAGTCACACAGCCCGAGGGTTCGACCCAGGCCTTGGCCTCCGAGAGCTTTAAATAAGATGACTGACAGTCATCCTGCCACCAGCAGCCTGGGGCCTGGCCACAGGGCTCTCACAGTGTCCAGGTAGGTCATGCAGCTAGGACTGAGAACAACTCTACCGGTCACAACAATTGCTCTCTGGCCGTGGACGAGCCTGATGTGCGGTACTATGTGCTGCAGTGAGGACTACCCACCTCTCCCTATTCCTCCCAGCTGGGAACTCTGGATTCATTTAAGCCAGCTGGGTTGCTCCCTCCCCAGTCAGGAGCAGATCCCACCATGGGAGAAGTCCTCTCCCATGTGAAGGCTCTACTTGGGCCAGAGGAGAACAGGACACAGACATGGGGAACAGCCAGTGCCCTGCTGGCTGCATGACAAGGCAATCAACTGTGGGGCAGACCAAGCCCTGCAGAGCACTCCAGGATCCTGTGTGTGACCCCAGGCCACACACAGCTAAGGGAGGGAGTAGCTCCCAGGGGCTCAGGGTTGGCTGCTTTATTATTGTTTTTGGCAGGACTGGGGTTTGAACTCAAGGCTTCATGCTTGCAAAGAAGCCACTCTACCCCTTGAGCCACACCTCTAATCCATTTTGCTCTGGTTATTTTGGAGATGAAGGTTTCATGAACCATTTGCCAGGGCTGGGCTGGAACTTCAATCCTCCTGATCTCAACCTTTCAAGTGGCTAGGATTAGAGCTGTCAGCCACTGATGCCAGCCTCTTTAGCTGCAGGAGAACTTCAGGAGGAACACATTCACACATGGCCTGAGCTGCCTGCTTTCCCAGCATTCTCAGTGCTGATGTGGCGATCAGGGACTGGCACCCAGAAGGCTCTACTGACGGGGAAGAGAAATGTTGGGAAGCTCTTGTTTTGAGCCCCATATTTCATATGTGGAAACTAAGGTTCAGAGAGGTCTAACCACTTGCCTCAGGTCACACAGCACTACCTTCCCCCTGCAAAGATGACCTGAGGAGTCAGCAGGGGACGTACCCAGCTTAAGGAGCCAGCCCTCCCGGTCCGGGTTGAAGAAGGTGTGGGTCAGATCGTTCCCATCATCCTCAGGAATCTTGAAGGGCTCATTTCGGATGCTGTCATAAAGGTTCTAAGGGACAGAGGAGGGCAAGTCAGTGATTCCCGACTCTGGGGCCCTTCTGGGGCTACTAGGGGCAGGAGACCACAAGCAGGGCAACCCACCATGGGAGGCAGAGGAAGGAGCCCCAGGGAGAAGGGAGGGGATATACGTAGGGTTGAGAGTTGCATGAGTCAGTTAGGATGCATGGAAACAGGCAGACTGAGACAGCAGAGCAAGACCCTGTAAGATCTGAGAAAGAAAGAAGCCAAGCAATGAGGGCCAGGACCTGAGAGGGACAGACAGACAAAGCACAGCCATGGCAGGCACACTGTTGGAGGGAGACACTGGGGCCCAGAGCAGGAAGCAGGAAGGGGCGATGGGGAGGGGGTGGTGGCCTGACCCTGAGCAGCTCCTCAGGCAGGTCCCCGCCCTCGTTGATGCCGCGGTTCATGGCCACAAAACGCTCCAGGCCTGGCTTGTCTCTGACATTAGGATTGTGAAGGCTGGTGTTCAGCATGATCACGGCAAAGGAGAGCACGTAGCATGTGTCTGCACAACAACACGACACAGGTGATGCCTGCTGCAGCCCGGCCCTCCACAGGCCCAGGGGTCCAGGCCCCAGCCCTCCTCCCTCAGACCTGGGGGTCAGACCCACCTGTGGACTGGAAAACCCCAGGGTTGCACAGACAGTATCGCTGAGCGAAGGCCTCCATCATCCGGTCAATTTTCTGGGCCTCTCCAGGGAGGCGAAAGCTCCACAGAAACTGCCTGGTGGGATCACGAGTGGCGTTAGGCTGGGAGAGCCCCTCCTCCCCTCTGTCAGTCAGGAATTGGCCAGTCACAAGTGCAGACCTTCTCACCTCAGCAGCTCACTGGGTGTGGTCTGACCAACAAGCACTCAGGAGGCTTTTGGGATCTATAGAGAAACAGCCTCTTTTTTTCCTGCTAAGATTATTAACTAGGACTAGTAGTAGCCAGAAGCTTCGGTTATCAGGTAAGAGTGTCTTTGAGAACAATGCCACCATAATGGCAACCACGAAGAGAAAGAGAAAGCTAAGTTTTTCACTTCATTTGGGCACCTTAATCACATTTATGCCTGAAGAAAATGCTATCTGCCAACGCTTTCTTTTTTCTTTTTTTTGGTGGTACTAGAATTTGAACTCAGGGCCTTGTGCCTGCTAGGCAAGGGCTCTACCACTATATCACTTGAGCCACGCCTACAGCCCTTCTTTACTTTAGTTATTTTTGAGGCAGGCTCCTGCCTAATCTGGCCTGGACCACGATGCTATTTTTTTGCTCACAGCATCACTGAGATGACAGGTGCTTATCACTGCAACCAACTTTTTTCCATTGAGATGGGGTCTCAAAAACTTTTTGCCTGGGTTGGCTTAGAACCATGACCTTCCTAATCTCAGCTTCTTGTGTAACTTAAGATGATGACATGTGGACGCCACTGCACCCAGCTACTGGTTGACATGGGTTCTCTCAAACTTTTTGCCCAAGTGGCCTGAAAGTGCAATCCTCCTGATCTTGGCCTCCTGAGTAGCTGGGATTACAGGTGTGAGCCACTGGTGCCAAGCTACATGAAGCAATCAATTCCTTGGTGTAAGGAGGATCTATGGAGAACAGAGACCCTTCCTGTGTTGAGTCAGGTCTGTGACTCACAACTAATAAAGTGCCCCTCACCTGAGGGCCTGCACCAGATTGAGGTCGGTAAACTCGTGGAGGTCCACAAAAGCATGCAGCACTGCCAGGTTCAGCTCTTCCCTGGGGAGAGGAACAAAGTCACACACCAGAAGGGGTCTGGGAAGGGGGAGGCAAGGCCCATGGATGACTGTGCCTCATCTTGTGTGCGAGTGGGTGAAACTTTGGCATTACCACAGGCTGAGTTTGGGAGTGGGGACATTACGCTCTTGGAAGACCTTGGCAACCCTGCTTTGCTGGACTTGTGAACCACTGAGAGAACTGCACACAAGCAGGCCACCTGCTGCCACCTTCCAATGTTCCCCACAGTCCCTGGATATTCAGACCTATCCCCATATCACCCACAGAGGCTTTCTACATACTCAAATGTCCATAAATCACTATGACCCCAGATATCCCCAAAGACCTGAGGTCTGGACCCAAGCCACTAAACTTCCAAACTGCCAGACACCCATGAACGCCCCAGTTCCCTGGATAGCTGCCAGTGGCTCCCACACTTCCCAGACTGCCCACAGCCTGTCCTCACACAATGACACTCACAGACGTGCCCACTGCCCCCAGACGTAATGAGGAGGCCCCCACCTCCTGGACGTCTGCAGAAAGTCCCTTCACCCCCAGATGCTCCTGGACTCCTCAACCCAAGCCAGTCCATTCCATCACGGCTGAGTGGGGACCTGGTCTAACAGGACCTCTCATGGAGAGGTTTCGGGGTTGTTCGATCTGGGAACTACCAGTGTCAAGGCACAGGGATAGGGTCCAACAAGCTCACCTCTCCCCCAGGTAGTCCCCGATGGCAGTCTTGTTCAGTCCCTCGCCCTTGTACAGGAAGCGGGCTATCTCCTCTGGTGTGTTCTGCAGAAGTTCATTCTCCACCAAGAACTGGATCCCCTGATGGGTGAGGGCAGGTCTCAGTACAAAGGACCAGAAAGCCACTGCTCCTGTGCCTCCCTGGGGACCTCAGAATCTCAACCCACCCCACTCTCAACCTGGCAGGGCCAAGCTTCATTCTCAGCTTTTTTTTTGGAGGAGTTTGAACTCAGAGCTTTGCACTTTTGAGGCTTGAGCCCACTTTAAGCCCCATTCTCAGCTTCTCACAGCTCCCAAAGTATCATATCTCCTACCTCCTTGCCAGTTTCCTGTGCCCCTGCCTAGTTAATTCCTGCGCCCAGAACAGGGTCCAGCGTTCAACAAATGTTTGTTGAATGACTGAACAAACGACAACTGCTTCAGGTAAAAATAAAGAAGGAAACTGTTAGTAGGTGGCAGTCTGTCAAGGGCTGTGAACACGGGAGTCCCAGACTCTGGGACCTGGAACCTTCTCTGCCTCTCCCTGTGCCAGAAAAACCTCTCTATTATAGGCACATCTTGCTCTGGACTATGGTGCCTATGTGTTACCTTTGTCTCAGGAATCCCTGAGGGTAGGGCAGGGTTTAATTTTCTGAGTTCCTAGAATTGTTTAGCACAGGGTCAGGTCCCTCTGGAGAACTCAGCCAATGGGTGCCCACTTGGCTACTGAACTCAGAAGTTGGGGTCCAGTCTGTTAGTCTACAGTGTACCAGTACCCATCCCACTTCTGGAACCTGGAGGGACAAGACCCTCTGCCTGGATGTCTGCCTGGCTGACTCAACCCTGTGGCCACAAGCACCTTCTTGGGGTCCATGTTGAATTTCTTCCTGCCCATTGCCATCTTCCGGTTCCGCTGCAAGGTCTTACTGCAAGGGGCAGAGATCAGGATGAGGGTGAGGGGTCAAGGGTCAATGCCTGGACATCCTGGGTCTGGCCAAGCCCTATGCCCCCTCTTCCCCCAGCTCCCTGCCCCAGTCCTCACCTGCCCTCATTGGCCTCCAGACCCTCCACCTCGCTCATGGCTTCACTCAGCTCCTCCCGCAGGCGCTGGATCTCCACCAACAGCTCCTGCTTCCTCCGCCGGATGTTCTCCAGCTCCATCCGCTCCTCCGGAGTCAGGTCCGGGGGCTCTGGGGGTCGGGGCCAGGGTTTAGAAAAATCGGTTCTGGGGGTTGGGGATTCCTGAAATCTAGGGGAGAAAGGGTCTGGGGCAGGAAGGGAATAGGATCTCCCATCTCTGTTGGAAGAAGGGGCTGGGGGGCCTGGATTCCTTCAATACAGATGAAGAAGGGCTGGGACGAAAGATCCTGTTGGATTAGGAGAGGACTTGGGATCCGGACTGCTGAATCTGGGGGAACCAGGGGAACTCAGATCCCGAGCGTTTAGGGGAAGTAAAGGGTTGGAAGTCTGAACTTCGCGGTCCATTACTTGGAAGGGGGCTGAGGCCTTGGTTTTCTGGCTCCATTACTGAGGAGGTAGCTGAGGCCCTGGGCGTCGGGACGCCTGGGTCCACGCGAAGTAACTATGGCAGAGGAAGCTGACGTCCTCTTGGAAGAGTTGGGAAGGGGGACGCGGTACCGGAGGCCCCGGCCTCGCCCCCCGGCAGCGCTGGGCTCGCCCGGCCCCTCCGGCGGGAATGGTTCCGCCCCGGCCTCGCCTCCATCCCGGCCCCTCCCGCCGCCACCGGAAACAGGCTCGGCCCAAACAATGGCCCGGAACGCCCCGCTTTCGGGCCCCGCCGGAAGCCTGTCCTGCGTCGCACAAAAGCGAGGCGACGATGGGGCCGAAGGGCTCCGCGCGACGCGGGCCGGGAAAGGATGTTCGTGGCGGAACGCGCGGGGGGGAAAACGCTCCATCTGCTCGCAGCCGGTCCCGCCCCTTCCCGACCTACCATAGACACCGTCCTCCATGGCGGCTAGGAAGGCCCGCGGGGAGTCCGGGGCGGTCCCAGCGGTCGGGCCTGGATCCGCGTTGGCCCGCGGGCTCGGGTGAGCCCGCTCAAACGCCCCGGGAGCCACCGCCGCCTCCTCAGCGCCAGTCCTCAGCGCTGAAAAGACTCTCCTTTCACTGCCCAACCGCCCGGCCACTAGGAACCGCCCCTCCTTTTGACACCGTCCAATCCACTACGGGTCTCCTCCTTTGCTCCGCCTCTGGCCCTGAAGGATCGTTTCCAGGACCAATAGACACACAAGAAACAGATGCAGCAATGTCCGGCTGGAGGTAGACGGCCTATAGGACCAATCGGAGTGCGGGCAGGACCCCAGGTACCGCCCCCGAAACAAAAGAAAACCCATGGCAGACTTGTCCTCCAATGAGAAACCTCAGAACACAGTTGGAAAGGGGTGGACTATGCAGTGCAGCGAGGACTGCGCCTGCGCAAGGGGTCTGTGGCCTAGGCTTGGTCAACCTAGGCCTAACTTTAGTAACTCGTTGCTAGGGGAGGTACTTTGTTAGTCTTGTTGCTACGGGTGGGGCCTCAACTGTGGGTTGTTTCCGTGAGCCACACCTCCAAGCTGGCCACGCTGGCTTTTGACCGCAGCGGTTGCCATGCAACCGGGAGCCGCATTGGGTTTTTGTTTTTTGGGTTTTTTTTTTGGCCTCCCTTCTCCCGGTACATCCCTTTCCTCTCAGCCCCTACTATCTCCACATCCTTTCCTTAACCAACTAAGTCTTCCCCAGACACCTCTTTAGAGTCACGGGATGGTGAAATGAATATTCTTTCTTCCAAATACTTTGCTATTTGGGATTTTTTTTTTTTTAGGGAGGTTGGTACTAGGGTTTGAACTCAAGACCTGGCGTTTGCGAGGCAGGAGCTCTATCACTTGAGCTACTATGCTATTTGGTACCTGTCGTTGAGAATGGGACAATAAGGGAAAGCCATACACAGTGAAAGCCCAGGCCCCGCCTTCCTCCTCTCAAGCTCCTACCCTCTTAAACTCCTCCCCTTAGTTTAGCATTCTCCTGACTCCTCTCTTTCCCAAACATCCTCTCCTAAATTAGCCCTCCCTTCCTTCGGCGTCTTTCCATCTGTGATCCCTTCTCTTAATGTCTCTCTAGCTCCCCTCATTTCAGTCCTCCCCTTCCCTACCTGTCCCACTCTTGCCCTTCCGCTCCTTCCTTCTCTCAGTCCTCCCATTTCTGAGGTCCTTCCTCTTTCCCTGCTTCTCCTTTCCCTTCTTCCCCCCCCCCCACTTTGGTGGTACGGGATTTTAACTCAGAACTTTGTGCTTCCTAGGCAGGTGCTCTACCACCTGAACCACCCCTCCAGCCCTCCTTCCCCTTCTTTACAGGCACAGCATGTGCAGGGATCTATCTGGGATGAGGGACTGGGGCACACTTGTAAAAACGCCGGCCCCATGATGAGGGCAAAAATGGTGTGTGAGCCTCGTCCTCATTTGCCGTCCCTGGGCTGTGCAGGTGGGGATGGATTGAGGGCCAGAACCTGGTTAAGCCTTTGGATTAGACACGGAGCCTCCTAATCCCTTCACTGACCTTTAAGAGGTGATGCCCTCCACAGTAGAGCCCCACACTGGGCCAGCCCTGCCTCCACTGTCCCCTCTTTCCAAACGGAACTGCCCCTCCACCCCAACTCTGCATCTTTCCCCACCCACATATCTCCAAGGTCCCCATTCCTGCACCAGACACTGAACTGGGAGGCCAGCCAGCTAATTAATTCCATCCGGTTATTACTTGGGGATTCTGAAGGATAAAGAGAGACAGGGAAGCCAGAAGAGGGGACTTGGGTTGATGCCCAATGACAACGCCTGCACTCTGTCGGGAACACCGGTGGGAACACATCCTTCTCCTTCTGGCACAGACTTGCTCTGCAGCTGGCTCCCAGCCTGCTGGGCACTTAGGTGGATGGCCACATGGGCGGAGGTCAGGCCCAAGGTCCATGTCTCATAAGCACACTCACGCCCACCAAGGCTCTGAGGTCTTTAATCTGGGGATAGGTCTCCCTGCAAAACACCCACTTTCCCCACAGTGAGAAGACCCCAGATGTCCAGAGCTACCTCCTACTTCTCCACCCCCCGACACTGGCCCACAGCCACAGCCACTGCCTTCACTGTTGGCCCTGTGATTGGGACAATCAAGATCACAGCCAAGCAAGAAGATCATCCCCAATCCTAGCCACTCCTGAAGGCCATGTGTTCCAGCACCCTGGCGTGTGGGGGTGCGGTCAGGAAACCCCAGGACCTTTACTCCCACCCCAGCCTCCCTGAGGTGAGGAATCACCCTGTTGGGAAGGCCCTTGGAGAACTTCAAGTTCCAATGCCCCATTTTCACCCATGCGGAAACTGAAGCAAAGACAGGAGAGTGATTTCCCAAAGTTGCACAGTAAATTGGGGCAGTTGGGATTTAGAAGCTTCCTGAATCCTTGAAAAGGACTCCAACAAACTTGAGTCTTTTTTTTTTTTTTTTCAGTACTGGAGTTTGAACTCAGGGCCTACACCTTGAGCCACTCCACCAGTCCTTTTCTGTGTTTTTTTTTTTTTTGAGATACGGTCTCACTAACTATTTGCCCTGAGCTGGTTTTGAACTGTGATCCTCCTGATCTCTGCCTCCTGAGTAGCTAGGGTCATAGGCATGAGCCATGGTGCGCGGCTGCTTGAGTCATTTTCTAACTTGCCATAGGAACCAGAGGGAAAAATAGATAGATATATGTATTTATATCATATATATAATGCACATATATATAACATAGTTAAGAAATAGACATATATTACTAGGTGTAGTATTCCAGAGCATTCTAGAGTCACCAGCCTTGGGCCTCCCCGTTCCCTTGCCCACTCATTATCCCTGTCACCTACAGGGTCTCACTTAAGCCCTCAGCCCAGAAATGCTACTTCTCAGTTTCTGAGTTCACCTCCTAGGACTGCCAGGGAGTCCATCTAGAGCAGAGAACTTCCAGGCTGAAAGAATGGGCAACTCTGGATCCCTGGAGTCTTAATTCCTTTTGGCATTACACAACCACAGGAAGTCAGCTAGGATCGTCAAGAGTCTCTGTGACCAGTCAGTGGCAGATGTTCAGAATCCTCCTTTACCTCTGTGATCAATCTAGAGCCACAGAATCCTGACTCCTTTGGACATTCTAGAATGGCACTTCAAACAAAAACCAAACCACCCTGTGGATGACGTACGAGCAGCACTTATCTCATAGGCTGGGTGTCCCACAGGCAGCAGTCTGGAGTTGCCTAACAACAAGCACTCCCAGCGTTACTTGAGTTCTTCTATAGCCACAGGCTCACCGTTACTTGCATTCTAGAAACATCACTCTGTATAGTTTCTGGACTCATTCAGCTGTCTGGGTCAGCCTGTTCTAGAATTACCAGTGTTTGCCTAAGTGATCAACATAGACTCATAGAATCTCAACTCTTGAACTTTCTGGAACCACAAGGTCAATGCCATTCCTTGTCTTTGGTCAATCAAGGTTGTCTTGAATACCCGCAATTTTCCACAACCTTCCCTCCTGAGGGGGTCTAGAACAAATGATTTGCTTCTTGTTTGGCTGAATCTAGTAGGAACAGTCCCTTGAATCTTACTTAGGTCAAGCCAAACCTACAGATTCTTGATCTCTGCTGCTGGCCAGGAACCGACAGCTTCCTCCCAGTACACAACGGCCTACACCATTAATCTCTGACCCTGCTCAATAACCCAGGCCTACCCACTGAGAACCACCAGGCCTTGCCTCTTGGGTGTTCCAGAATTCTGAATCCCTCCTCTCTGGTAAGACTCAGGAATTGGGTTCACAAGGGGGTCTCAGGAGGGAGCAGAGAAGCAGAGGAAGTAAGATCCAGTATGCGTCTCTGTGGTGGGAGCCGCTAGGCCTGGCAGAACTTCACCAGCTAATGATTTTCCCATAGGCCTTTGGTCTTGGGAAATACTCGCCCCATTCTAGCAGAGGACCCGATATCTCCAACTTGCTCCTTCTGGGAAAGGGACAAAAGTGGGGAAGGGGACGTCAGCATGCATCATGGAGGCAGGGTCAGTGCCAGGGTTGGTGTGAGAACTCGGGGGCTGGCAGCTCCACCTTCTGGCTCTGCCCCAGTCCCCTCCTTGGTGTCCTCTTCCTCATCTTCCTCCTGGCAGCAACTCAGAGCAAGTTCATTTTCATAACAAAATGCAGCCAGAGAGCCAGGGAAGCTAGATTTGGGGCTGTGGGAAGCCTGCTCTGCCCGCTCGTCCAGCTCCTTGGCGCTGCACACAGGTGTCCCAGGGACCTCGTAAGTGCGGTGGAAGTGGCGGTAGTCAACCTCGTACTGGGAGCCACGCTGGAAGAGGACTGGCTCAAAACGATGACCCCAGAGCAGCTCACCTGGGAGGTAAGATGAGCGACACTGTGTGGTCATGGCTGTAGCCTCAACCATACCCTCAAGGATGACCACCAGCTCAAAGTCAGCCCGGGCCAGCTCAGCACGTCCCAGTTCATACAGAGGACTAGAGGAGTCAATCTCATGCACGATGGTGATGGGAGACACAAGGAAGATTCGATCGGTGCCTCCGTCGAAGCCCACGTCCACATCCTGGTGGTCCAGTGGAATGTACTCTCCCTCCGGGGTCACCCGGGGCTGCAGGAGAGGGCGAGGACCAGAGCCAGAGAGCAGGGAGCGCAGAGGTAAACAGAGACAGAGACAATGGGAATCCAGGTGCAGAGAAAAAGCAAAGACCAACAGGGGTGAGCCATAGGGGCAGGAACATGGATCCAGAGAGGATGAAAAAGACCCAGGAGCAAAGAAAAGAGAGAAGGAGAGGGGATGGGGAAAGGGTAGGGGGAGGGAGAGGGGGAGAGAAATATCCAGGGAGAGGGGGAGAGAGAGTCAGAAAGAGAGAAATAGAGACAGAGTCAGAGAAAGGGGAACAGATACCCAGAGTCAGCAGAGAGAGGAGCATAGAGACTCAAGAGGGACAGAGTCAGAGAGAGAGACAGGGACAGAGAATCAGATAGGATGATAGAAACCCAGACAGGAGGTCAGAGACCCACAGAGAGGGGAACAGAGAGTCAGATGGGGATACAGATCCAGAGAGAGAGGACAGAGACACAGAGATGGGGAGCCAGAGAGCCAGAGATGGGGGGACAGAGAGCCAGAGAGAGGGATAGAGAGCCAAACAGAGGGACAGAGAGCCAGAGAGGGGAACAGAGACCCAGGGAGGGGAGGATCAAGGTCCACCCAAAAGGAAGGGGGACAGAAACCCAAAGGTAAAGAGAGGACAGAGACTCAGAGAAGGTTTGGGGATAGAAACCGGGATGGGGTGGGGTAGAAGGAAGAGAGAGGTGAAAGTGGGAGAGAAGAAGAAAGTGACAAAATCAGAGACAACAGAAGACGAAGACAGCATTCACCAGGGAATTGGAGGAGGACAGAAAGAGAAAAAATGGCTTTTAATATATGACCAGAGAAAAATAAACCAGGATGACAGGAAGTGGAGTTAGGACATCTAGGCCCAACATCCTGTGCACCACCACTGCCCTGGGCTAGCCCCTGAGCTAACCTCAGACCAACCCAAAAATGTGCAGGTGTGTTGAGGGGGTCAGTATTGGTAGCCTCCCGGCTCTGGGTCCATACCCACCTCCCAGTCCATGTCACTGCCCCACAAACTTCAGGAAGATAGAATATTTGAGAGACACAAATATTGGTGTCTCAAACTGCCTGGAGTGTGTGGAGGGAAGGGGGGTGAGTACCTATTCTCTTGCACCTGCGAGCCCCCAGAGGCTTCTGGGAAATGTAGTTCCCACTCACACCCATCTCTCCTATGGCCTCGAGTCCAGCCTCAGCCCAGGATTGTTATGTGTCTCCACTTGGGCAAAGGCAGCCGGACCCCACAGTTTGTTGGGAACTAGGTTGTCTGGCAGTGTTTTTTGTTTTTATTTTGTTGTTTTGGTGGTAGTGGGGTTTGAACTCAGGGCTTTGTACTTGCTAGACAGGCACTCTTCCACGTGAGCCATTCCACCAGCAAGGAACTTGGTTGTCTGAACAATATGATCACATGTATAGAAACACAGAGGCCCCTGTACCAGGGTTGGGAGGAAGCAACTGTCTCTGAGGCAGGTTGCAGGTTGACAGTGGCAGCTTGGTGATTGTTGGTACTGAGAGGCTAGGGTTCAAAAGCGTTTCCCAAGCTGGGAGTAGTGACACATACTCAGTAGGCTGAGGTAGGAGGATCACAGTCCAAGACTGGACTGGTCAAAAGTGAGAGACCATAGCTGGAAAACAATCTAAAAGCAAAAGGGCTGGGAGTGTGGCTCAAGTGGTAGAGCACTTGCCTAGCATGCTTCAGGCCCTGAGTTCAAATACCACTACTGCCAAAAAAAAAAAAAAAGTGTTTCCCAACCCCCACTACATACTCATTCAAGAGGCCAGTGGGAGAGACAGGGCCCCTATGGTGGGGACTAAAGTCTGCAAATGTTGTGGGCTGGGGGCCAGAGACTTCTGTCCCCCAACTCTGCAGCCTGGCAGGCTTCAAGTCACAAGCCACCCTCAGTGCCCCAGTGTCTACTGGGAATTGTAAACGTGAGCCACAGAAACCACAGAAAAGCAACATCTCAGATCATGCTATCTGGGCACTTTTTTTTTTTTTTTCAGCTCTGGGGATTGAACCATAGACCTTGTGTGTCCTAGGTAAATGCCCTACCACTGAGCCACATCACTAGCCCCTATCTTCTGAGGCTTGGAAATGTCTGGGATCTGCAGTCCTGAGTCTTTGGGACCACGGTGTGGATGCTTAGGTCTACACTGCCCATGCTCCCTATGGGGGCGGGGGAGAGAAGCTCTCCAGGTCTCACTCTTTAATGCAGGAAGAACTGCCACAGATCTGTCTGTCTAATTCATCTGTCCTACAGTGAGTCATGGAACCCTCCTGGGTCCCCAGGAGTCCCTGCCCCAGGCTGCTGGGAATGATGGCGACTCAGGGGGATCATGGCACACCACTACCCACTTCCCCGGGGCCCCCCGGCGTCCCCTCCGCACCTGCAGCAGCTGTGCCCGCACGTGGGCCTCGACCAGGTGGCTGCGGCGCAGGTTGCCCACGCGCCACATGAGGCAGAGGCGACGATCGCGCAGCGCCACCACGGCATTCTCGCTGAAGACCAGAGTCTCGTTGCGCTTCTTGGGCTTGGCCATTTTGGCCATGACGGCGCCCACGACGAAGGCGTCCAGCACACAGCCTGCGATGCACTGCAGCACGACGGCGGCCACGGCGGCTGGGCACTCCTCGGTGACACTGCGCACGCCGTAGCCGATGGACGTCTGAGTCTCCAGCGCGAAGAGGAAGGCGGCCAGAAAGCTGGCCACCTGCGAGAAGCAGGGCGCGGGCGGTGGCGGCGCAGCCAGGTCGCCGTGCAGGGAGGCGATGAGCCAGAAGGCCAGGCCAAAGAGCAGCCAGGACGCCAGGAAAGAGCAGGAGAAGAGCAGGCACATCCAGCGCCAGCGCACGTCCACACACGTGGTGAACAGGTCGCTCAGGTAGCGCGCGCCCTGGCCGCCCAGGTTCACGAAGCGCACGTTGCAATGGCCGTCCTTCTTGACGAAGCGCCCGCGGCGCCGGCCCGCGCCAGCCTGCGCGGGTGCCCACCCATTGCGACACAGCCCCGGCCCGGCCTCCTCCTCATCGCCAGCCCGGCTGTCCCCCGGCTCCAGCGCGCCGCTCAGGCGGCGCAGGGCCCTGGCCAGGCCCATTGGGCGGGGGAACCCCCTCCACTTGGCCTAGCAGGGGGCGGGCGCCCCAAACCTGTGGGAAGAAGAAATCGGCAGGAGTGTCAGAGGTGCCAGGAACTGGAGGGCTTATGTGTCAGGTGTGCTATGCGCTCTGTTGGGTCTTGGCGGGTGTGTATGTGTGTGTGTGTGTGGGACACTTGGATAGGCCAAGCCGGGTGTGGTGGTGCCCAGCTGTAATCACAGCTACTCCAGAGGCGGAGGCAGGAGGATCATGAGTTCCAGGCTAGTCTGGACAAAGTTAAGGTGACCCTGTCTCAAAAAAACCAAAATGCAGAGCCGGGGGTGTGGCTCAAGGGGCACTTGCCTAACATGACCGAGGCCCTGGGTTCCATCCCTAATACAAAAAAAAAAAGAAAAAAAAAAGTAAAAGAAGATAGGCCAGTATACACTGTACAGATTTGAAGATTACAACATCAATGGTAACAAAAAAAACAACTACCACACCACAGTTAACTGTAACATTTATTTCTTCAGTGCTACTTTTTTTTTTGAGGTACTAGAACTTGAACTCAGGGCCTACACCTTTAGCCACTCCACCAGCCCTTTTTTGTGTTGGGTATTTTCAAGATAGGGGTCTCACAAATTATTTCCCTGGGCGGACTTGGTACCATGATTCTCCTGATCTCTTCCTCCTGAGTAGCAAGGATTACAGGGGTGACCGACTTGCGCCTGGCTTCAGTGCTACTTACACTAAACTTATAATTCACCTAAGTGTAATAAGTAACAGAAGTTACTCATGTAACAGAAGTCTTATCTGATATACTAAATGTATTTGGTTAGATGCTGTTGGAAGCCCTTTACCTGAATTTACATATTTGAGGCTAAGAACAAGCTTTTGAGATATGTGTTATTATCATTATTTACAAAGGAGGAAACTGAGGCATGGGAAGTTTGAGTAACTTGCCCGAGATCACAGCTAAGTAAACTGGGAATGTTGAGTTGTAGCTGCTTCTCTGAATGAGCTTGATTCTGTGATCAGCTGTGGTTTAAAAAAAACAAAAAACCAGACTCAGAAAGCAAAAGCAATGGGGCTTCGGCCATGGCTGGAGTGGCAGAGTGCTTTCCTAGCATGACCCAGGCCCTGGGTTAAGTCCCCATTACTGAGAAGGAGGAGAAGCAGGAGGATGGAGAGTTCTGGGCCAGTCTGAGCTACATAGCAAGACCCTGTGTCAATATATAAATCAATGCTCCAACTCCTTGGGAGGCAGAGATTGGGAGGATCGAGCTTCAAAGCCAGCCCTGGCAAAAAGTTTGTGAGGCCCCATCTCAACTAAGAGCTGGGTGTGGTGGCATGTGCCTAAAAGTCTGGGAGTATGGCTCGAGTGGTGGAGCACTTGCCTAGCATGTGCTAGGCCCTGGGTTTTTGATGCTCAGTACTGAGAGGAAAAACCAAAAAAAAGATAGGCAAAGAATCTGTATATTTCTCCAGGGAAGACAGACAAATGGCCAATTAGCAGGTGAGAAGCTATTCCATGTCATTGGTCATTAGGGAGCCACTGGGTGTCCCAGAGATAAAAGTAGTCTCATGACCCTGGGTTCTAACCTCACCACAAAATCCAAACCAAGGCACAACAAAAACCACCCTCCAGTTAGGGTGTGGCTTAAGCAGTAGAGCGCCGCCTAGAATACCCCACTACCACCAAAGACAGTAACAGCAACAACAAAAGTCACCCTCCACACATAAAGAGATGCCACTACACACCTGTCTAAGATGGCTGCATTGAGAGAAAGCAGTAGCACGTGCTGGCAGGAACGTGCAGAAATTGGCATCCTTTACATATTCCTGGCAGAAATCTAAAATTGAGCAACCGTGGGGAACCAGTCTGGCAGGTCATTACGTGGTTAAACAAAGACTTATGATATGACCCAGAATTCCACTCCTATCTGTCCAAGAAAAATAAAGATAAAAGCTTGTAGACAAGGCCAGCTGTAGTGACTCACGCCTATAATCCTAGCTACTTGGGAGGCAGAGATTAGGGGGACTGCAGTTTGAGGCCAGACCTGAGTAAAACAAGCAAGGTGTGGTGTCTTGAAAAATAACTAAGCAAAAAGGACTAAGAGTGTGGCTTAAGTGGTAGAGCATCTCCCTAGCAAGTACAAGGCCATAAGTTCAAATCCCAGAAAAGCTTGTACACAAATTGTTCACAGTAGTGTTATTCATAATAGTAAAAAGATGGAAATAACTAAATATCCACTCACTAATGAATGGATAAATAAAAGGTGTATACACCTTCAAAGAATACTATTTGGCCCAGTGATCCTGTCTCGGTCTTCTGAGTAGCTAGGCCAGAGATGGGTGAACCTACAAAACATCATTTTGAGATAAGCCAACCCTGAAGTCAGCCTTCTGTTGTTTTTATTTTTGTGGAACTGGGGTTTGAACTCAGGGCTTTCGCTCTACTGTGTGAGCCATACCTCCAGACCATTTTGTCCTGGTAATTTTTGGAGATGGGGGGGGGTCTCATGAACTATTTGCCTGGGTTGGCCCCAAACCCTCAACCTCTGCCTCCCAAGTAGCTAGGATTAGAGGTATAAGCCACCAGTGCCTGGCTATAGTCATTGAGGGCTGACTTCCAGCTTCTTTTTTATTTTTATTTTTTTGCGGTACTGGGGTTTGAACTCAGGGCCTTCACCTTGAGCCACTCCACCACCCCTTTTTTGTGATGGGCTTTTTTGAGATAGGGTCTCGAGAACTGCCTGGGCTGGCTTGGAACTGCGATCCTCCCTGATCTCTGCCTCTTGAGTAGCTAGGATTACAGGTGTGAGCCACCAGTGCCCAGCTGTATCCACAGCTTCTGTATCCATGAATTCAACCAAACAGATTAGAGTGAAAATACAAAACTGGGCTGGGGTCATGGCTCAAGTGGTAGAGGACCTGTCTAGCAAGTGCAAGACCAAGTTCAAACCCTAGTACCAAACTCTTCCCTTGCTCTGAACACTTTTTTTCTTGTCATTAATAATATCAGCCAGGCTGGTGGAGTGGCTCAAGTGGTAGAGCGCCTGGCTAGCAAGCATGAGGCCCTGCATTAAAAAAAAAAAAAAAAAAGGTGTCAGTGACCAAAATTTTGTCTAACAATACCAGCTGGGCACTTGTGGCTCACGCCTGTAATCCTAGCTACTCAGGAGGCAGAGATCAGGAGGATCTCAGTTCCAACCCAGCACAGATAAATAGTTTGGGAGACCCTATCTTGAAAAACCCTATCACAAAAAAATTGGACTGGTGGAGTGGCTCAAGGTGTAGGCCCCAAGTTCAAGCAGCAGTACTGAAAAAAAAAACAAAACCATATAACAACTGTTTCTGTAGCATTCCTATGGTATTAGGTACAAAAGCTACAGGGGATGTAAAGTGTACAGAAGGGCGGCACAGGTTCTATGCAAATATTAACCATCTTATACAAGGGCCTTAAACATCACAGACTTTGGTGTTTGTGGGGGTCCTGGAAGTAACTCCCCTGTGGATCCTGAGGGACAGGCAAACCTATAAACTAAGAAAGTGGGCTGGAAGTTGCCTGTCCAGAGGACATGGGCTTTCTTTCTCTGGTGATGAAAATGTTGGGCTGGCTGGTGAGTGGCTCAAGTGGTAGAGCGCCTGCTTAGCAATCATGAGGCCAAGTTCAAACCCCAGTACCACAAAAATAAACAAAATGAAATTAATTGGGGTGACAGCTGTGTGACTGTGACTTTACTAAAATCACTGCACATGTAGATAGGTGAGCATGTGAGGTCTATGCCACTGAAGCCGTAACAGGCATGGCCTCAACCCTCTCCGGGGCAACTCTTCTCAGACTGTTTTGTCAAGTGTAAACGGGGGCTTCATCAGGGTCAGGAATTACATTCCCATCATAAAGACCCAGGGCCTAACGCCAGGTGAGCATGATTGGCATACCTGTAATCCCAGCACCTGGGAGACTAAGGCAGAAGGATTGAGAGTTACAGACCAGACCGGGATACATCAGGAGACCCTGTCTCAAGAACAAAAACAAGCAAACAAAAAAACCCAGGGCCTAATCCTGACTCGGTTGCTGACCCTCTGTGTGACCTGGGCTTCCTTTTCCAGAGCCTCAATTTGCTCATCTGGGAAACGGGTATCAAACCCACCTCCCAATCTGAAAGGAAAAGAAATCGAGAAGGCCTTGGGTCGTTGAATCAGGCAGCTATAGGTTGAATTCTGGCCTAGCCCCTCACCAACTATAGGATAGTGGCAAGTCACATCCTTTCTTGAACCTGGTCCTGGCTGTAGTTTGAACTCAGGGCCTCACATTTGCTAAACAAGAGCTCTACTTCTTAAGCCATGCCTCCAGCCCCTGCTTTGGTTATTTTGGGATAGGGTCTCGTGTCTTTTGCCCAGGGCTGGGGTGAAACCTGATCCTCCTATTTATGCTTCCCATGTAGCTGAGATGACAGACACACACCACCACACCCAGCAATTGTATGAGATGGGGTCTTGTTAACTTTTTGCCAGCTGGCTTAGAGCCTCAACCGTCCTGATTTCTGTCTTCCGAGTGTGGGTCACTGAGTTCGACCTTGTTTGTTTTTACTCCAGATCCACCTTTCTCCACCTCACAGGAGTGCACCACCATTCCCTGTTGTCTCAGTTGTGAAGTGTAGAGACTTTAGCAACCTGACAGGCTGGAGGGAATGAGAGGGGCTGGGCATGGACCTGCAGACTCGCCAGTCCCCCAACTTCAAGGCTGACACCTGGCACAATAGGCACCAGGGTTTAAGCAATTTGCGTATTACTTCCACCAAAATTTGTAGCATCTCTACTACACTTCTCTGCACTGTACCACATGGCCACTGACCGATTCTGGGGTTCCCATGGGATTTTTTGCAGGGCCTGGAGCTCCACCTGAGGCTGCTAGTCAGGGTGAAGTTTAGCACCACCAGAGTCCCCAAGACCACCAGATAATGCAGCAGCAAGGTGGTAAGTGGGGTGGGTGGGGGAGTACTAGATCCACTTAGCAAATGCAAAGCTGAAGCTCAGGTCAGAGTGGATGGAGCCTCACTGCGCCCCAACCCAGACTCCTTCCTCGCCCTCAACATCCTGGATGTTAGAGATCAGTCTCTGGAAAGGGGAAACAGGTTAGTTACCCAAAGGGCAGGTTTATAGCCTCGTGCAGCCCCTCACCCCCAAGGGAGAGGGTGGGGGAGGCAGGAAGGGAGTTTGCTTAGACCCAGTCCCACTGGGCCCCTTACTCACTTGCCTCCTTACCCAGAGCCCTGTGAGGTGTTCACAGGAAAGCAAAAGGCTGATGGTCCCTTGTCTCAGGTCCTTCAGCCAGGAGGGATGGCACACCAGGACTCCTACCCAGGCCTTGGGTGCTTGGGCTCCAGTGATAGGCCTCAGCCGGGCTCCTGAGCATCCGCAATGGCTGGGGCCCCTGTGTTTGTGGCAGTTTGCAGCAGTCCACTGGACCCACACCCCACAGCTCACCTTGACAGCTCAGGACAGTGGCAGGTCAAGGGCATCACCCCATCTCACATCAGGGAATGGGTTCAGAGGTTGTGGCCTGACCAGGCTCACTGTGCTGGGGTGGGACTCTGCCTCCTCACTCCTGAGTGTCCCCTAACCCCGTGGGCCAAGCTGTGTCCACCTCACAGCCACAAGTCCTCCACCTCCGGGGGCCCTGTCTGTACCCAACATGGCCTGACTACTCCCAGGCTGGGGAAAGAGACTCGGCTCAGGGCACCACCTCCTCCCCCCATAAAGACAAGAGGGAAAAGGATCCCAAGCCCCCCCCACCTGACCTGAGAGCAGCTTAACGTTTCCATATAAAGGAGACACAGGGCTTAAGGTGCTTCAACTTCATGTCAAAGTCACTGCCTAATCTGGGGCCACGAAGCCCCACCTTCTCTCAAATGGACATAGCCCTGATCATGGGGATGTTACCCTGCTCCCCACCAACCCATGGGGTCTGCACAGCAGGCTGGAGGGCTGACACTGATGGGGGGTGGGGGCAGAGACTGCGGAGGCAGGACTTTGGGTAGGAAGATGCAGGGGCCGGGAAAAAGTCCAGAGAGGATAGAACCCTGGCCAACAGACATAGGGACCACACTTGGAAATAGGACAGAGACCCAGAGAAGGAGGGGGAGAAAGACACAGTGAGAAAGGGAGACAGAGACTTAGAGAGGGTGGAACAGAGACTCAGAGAAGAGAAAGGTGGGGCAGAGACCCAGGAAGAGGAATAGAAACAGAGGGGAAGAGGACAGAAAAGAGGGGAATTAAGAGCAGTTAAAGAGAAATGGTGACTGTGGCTTCAGAATGGAGACAGGGATGGAGTGGACAGAGATGGGAAGGAAACCCTCTGAAAGAGAGGAGTGGGGAGGTCTCCTGGGCTGGAGCCATTCCTGAGGGTGCCAGGGAGCAGGAGGCAGGAGGTGGGTGCTCGCAGGGGGACCTGCATGGAGGCACATACCTTGTGGGGCAGCCCACCCCCATGCCCTGTGCTGGGGGGTTCCTCTGCTTGGGCTGAGGGGATGACGCCTCTACAGGTGCGGAGGGTCTGTGTCTGTCCTGGGCCCCTGGGGCCTGGAGCCGGGCAGCCGCCCTCTGAATCCACAGCGGATCAGAGGCTGGGCCAGGGGGGCGGGGGTGGGGCCGGCTCAGCCGCAGAGGGGGAGCCAGGGAGGCCAGCCAGGCAGGGCGCTGGGATGCAGCCCAGGCAGGCTGGAGACAGTGCAGAGAATGGGTGGGGGGCAGGGAGGCAACAATGGAGACAGGAGCCACAGAGATGAGGGTCATAGAACAGTGACAGTTTACAGCACACAAGGAAATGGGAGATGATGAGTACAGGGAACTGGGGGATTCAGGTGCCCCAAGGGGAAGTCTTAATAAGTTGGGGGGCACGGGGTAAGGTACCATTTCACTGGTCCAGAGTGACTTCCACATGGAAGAGAATTTACAGAAGCCAGAATAGGGTGATATCCAATGGGCTGAGGGTTGGACTGCATGGAACAGGATGTCCAGTCTAGTTGCCCAGGGACAGCTAGGTACCAACATCCCGCCTCCCACCCCCTTCGGTTCAGACCAGAGTCTCACACGTGGGGCCTCATTCTGGTCTTTATTGCCTCTTGGGGGCACCTGGCTGTCCTCTCTGTGCAACATTGGCCCTCATGCAGGCAGGGTACCCTGCAAGGCCCCCAGAGAGACATCTTGCCCAAACCCAGCTGGATGGCAGGGGCAGAACCAAATTCTGCCCAGAGAATCCACACTTCAAACTTGGTCCAGCCATGGAGGGACCAGCAGCCCACACTGGGTCCTGCAGTAGACGGCAAAGGGTTAAGCCAGGCATCAAAGCTGTCGGCCAACTCAGGCCATCTGAGTCCTGTGACAGAGGGATCTCTGCCTATAAGCCACATCTAACAAAGTCCTTCAGGAGAACACTAAGGTACCCAGAGCCCATCACTTCTGTCCCAGTGAGCCAAGCTCTTCTTTTGGGGGCCTCGTCATGGCCCAAATGGACCCCTTCAGGGGACCCACTTCAGTTCCCTCAGACACTGATGGTGCGGAAGATGGTGAAGCCAGAGAGGGCGGTGCTGAGCAGGACCCCAGGACACTGCGGGTGCCAGTGCAGCTCCTTCAGGTCCGTCTCACCCTGGTGCACAAACAGCAGCTGCTGGGGGAGCGCTGCCAGCCCAGGGTCAGCCTCCGTGTGGCCCTCCTCCGGGTCCCGCTCCACCGCCAGGTCCCACTGTGTGATCTGGTTGTCTGCACCTGCGGCTGCGAAGACCCCGCTGTCCTGGGGGTGCCACTCGACGGAGGTCACGGGGGCCACATGCTGCTTGAAGGTGGCCACTGGGGAGCCTGACTACAGGAGAAATGGGTGTCAGACACTCCAGATGTCTCAGCATAAGTCCTGAGGACCCAGACTCAAGAGTTCAGCCCAAGCTGTCCCCTTAAGCCCTGGGCCCATGAGAGGGACACAGAACAAAGTACCGTGGGAGAGAAGGCTTATGGCCCTGGGGGTTTCCTGGGGGAAACTGCTGTTTCACTTGCAAAGAAGCCACTCCCAGCTCCAGGTCACAGGAGCCGCATTCCTGCTTGTCCCTGGGTGTGCATAAAAAGGGGGAGAGGTTCCTCCAGTGTTTTCTTAGCTGTTCTTTAAGATTGAGACCTTAAGTGCAACCCTCTGAAGCTCCAGGCAACCACCCAAAGGACAACAGCACTTGAGCTAGGCAAAGGCTGCTGAGGACTGAAGTCTAAGTGGAAATGCTCAGTCAATGCCCAGGGATCCACTGGCCTGGAGGGCTGGAATCCATCTCTGGAAGCTTCCCCAAGCCTGACTGTTCAGGAATGACTAAACTGGAGGGGAAAAGATGATGGCTAGGTGGTGGTGATTCAGGAAAGGAACAGACCCAGGTGAAGCCCTGGCTTCAGTCACAGGGACAGCAAAAGCTCCCTTTCTCCTGCCCAGGGCTCCTCTCAGCTCTACGAAGTCAATCCTTAGTTTGGCTGTTGGCCAGCTAAGCTAACGGTGGTACGCATCTCTAATCAGAAACGGGACTGTGAGTTTGAAGCCAGCCTGCACTACATAGCAAAACACTATCTTAATACAAAACAAGAGAAGCTCAGCTGTGATGTCACCTCTGTTCTATACTTTCTGTGCCTCAGTTTCCTCTCCTGCAACGAGTAAGCTGGGCTCCAATTCTCAGCTTATATTATAAACTTCACTGGGTGGTGGGAGGGAGCAGGAAAGCCACAAAACCGTAAACTACAACCCCTAACAGTCCCTGAGCCCATGAGCTGTACAGTCAGCTGCACCTCAGCCCCACAGGCAGATGGAAGTTGTAGTCTCTGCTGCCCTAGCTCTGCCATCACAGGGCGCAGTGAGTGACTTCACACCTGCCCACCCACCTTCTTTCTGAGCCTCAGTGTCCTCATCTGTTGGGAGGGGCTGGACTCCAATTCCAAGGGCCTTCCCAGCTCTGGCTGATAAGACCAAGGAAGAACAAACCTACGGACCCCAATGCTGAACTGCTGGGAACAATGGCTTCTCCATATCCTATTGGCCAGTGGGTAAAATACCTTGAACTGTCGCAGGTCCCAGACCTTGAGGGCTCCATCGTCCCCTCCACTGAGCAGGAAGGGCTCCTGACGGCTCCAGCTGATGACATTGACGTCTCTATCATGGGCAGTGGCTGTGGTGAGCATGCAGGCCTTGCTGGGGGCTGCTCGGATGTCCCAGATACGAATGGAGGCATCAACTGAGCAGGAAGCGAATACCTGGGCAAGGTGGATCAGGTCTGAGTGTGAAGATGTAACCCCAAGGTCAGGAATGAGGGTCTCTCTGTCAGTGTCTCCCAGCCAAGGGCTTAGCCTGCAAACTAACTCCCTGCCACGCCCCCAGCTCAGCCTCTCCCCTCAGCCCCTGGCATCCAGGCCCACAGCCTCCCCTTACCGTGTCTTCAGTTGGTGACCACTGCAAATCCTCCACAGAGCATGTGTGGCCCACAAAGGGCCGCTGGTCTACATGCCAGGAGCCACCGTCTGTAGGTGTCCAGAGGTGGATATTCTTCTGACAGTCACCAGTCAGCAAGCGACCTGGGAGAGTCAGGAAAAGACCTCACCCCACCTGGCCACACCTCACTGCCCCTTCCCACCTCCCTGAACTGTGTGCAAACTTCAAAGCCTCACCTGGCACTCGAGGGGACCAGTCAAGAGCAAAGCCCTCACCCATGTGGCCTGCGAAGGTGAAGATAGGCTTCACTCGGGCTTGCTCATCCCGCAGGAAGACTGCCAGGGCCTGCGGGTCATCCACTACCTGCAAAAGCCGCCGGAGCGCAAACACCTCCACTTGGCCCTTCTCTGACCATACGCCGGCCACAGGCTCCTCGCCCAGCCATGACACCTGAAGAAGAGGGTGTGAGACACAGGCGATGAAGCTCAAGTGCTGACCACAAACTCCCAGCATCCTTGAGAACCAGAATTGCAGGTCCTCCCAGGCCCAGGACCAGACTACAGCTCCCAGAAACCCCTGGGGGAAGAGATCACAGCCTGTCACATCAGCTGGGCACACTGGAGTGAGCTATGTGGTAGTGGGGTGGCAGGATGGAGCTCCAGGACGCCTGAGCATTGAGGCTGTAGGTCTATCAGCCCTCTTATCTTTTTGCCTCTGTATGCTTGCTCATTAAGAAATTCTAAGGGCTGGAGAAGTAGCTCAAGAGGTAAGAGCACCTGCCTAGGAAGTGTGAGGACCTGAGTTCAAACCCTACTATTGCCAAAAAAAAAAAAAAATTACTGGAAATTCTGTGTCTTCTCTTTGCTCTAAACCCTCCAATAGTTCCCACTTTCTCTCCAAGCAGAAGCCCAAGTCCTTACGAGGGTCCACAAGGACCTAAATGATCTGTCTTGTTTGTACCCTCTCTCCAAATTCTGTCACTCTCCACCTCAACCATTGTTCCAGACACACTGGTCCCCCCCACTTCCCTTGAAACTCTTCACACATGCCAAGTTCACCAGGGGCTTTGCACTTGTGTTTTCCTTGCCTGCAACTCCATTTCCACAGGTATCCCTGGGTCTTTCACTCACTTCCTAAGGGTCTCTGTTCCAAAGGCACCTTCTCACTTAATACTCCCTTAGCCACACTGTTTGAAATGTCATTTCCACCCAGAAACACCCATATTCTGCTTCATTTTAGTTTTCTCCACGACACTTCCCACCTATACATTTACCTACTTTCTCCTTATTCTCTCACATTTACATTTAGCGTGTAAATCCAGAGGCTTTTTGCTTGCAGTGGACAATACTGGAAGGATGGTGTTAAAACCCCTTGGTAAGGTATGGTGGTGCCCACCTGTAATCCCAGCACTTGGGAAGTTAAGGCAGGAGGATTGCAAATTCAAGGCCACCCTGGGTTACTTATCGAGACCCTTACTCAAAGAATCAAAACTAAGACCAGGTGCTGTAGCATGAACCACCAAACCAAACACAAACACACACACACACTCCACAGCTCCAAAACAGTTCCTTAGTAATAACTTAAAAAATAAACAAAACATCTTTTTTTTCTTTTCTTTTTCTTTTTGATGGGACTGGGGTTTGAACTCAGGGTTTTGCACTTGCAAAGCAGGTGCTCTAGTGCTTGAGCCACACCTCCAGTCCATTTTGCTCTGGTTATTTAGAGATTGGGGGGGGGGTGGGGAGTTCTCTCCAACTGTTTGCCCAGGTTTGGCCTAAAACCGTGATCATCCTAATCTCAGCATCCCAAGTAGCTAGGACTACAGGGGTGAGCCAAAATCCTGTAAAACACGTATCTTATATTACTACCAGGTGCTGCTGTGTAATATACAGTCACTATATATTATTTCAATTATTCTCACACCAGCCCCATCAAGTAAGTTTTATAATTCTCACTAGTTATCCTAGTTGGAAAATGAAGAATATAAAAAATATCACCGTAGTTTAAAACAGCACCTAGTGCATAATGATTACTGCTACAATGCTTAAGACATATAGAACTACGTGCTGTGTACTTTTGTAAGAGTTAACAGGGTTGAGGAGGTGCTGGGAGAGATATGAGCATGGTGGTGGTGGTGGTGGGAGGTTTGGGGCGTGTTCCAGAGAACACAGAGCAGGCCTGCCACAATACACACCCGAACTCGGTTGATGCCACCATAGTGGGGCACCATGGCCAGTTCCAGCTGAGGCTTCCGCTCTTCTTCATCTTCCTCCTCTTCATCACTGCCCTCGGAGGTTGGGGGCCTGGTTCCGTACAGATTGTGCATCCGAAGCATCATCAGTCTAGGGAAGGACAGGGTATCAGGCACTGGATGCCACCGTGCTTTTTTAAAAAAGTTTTTAGGTGGGACTGGAGTTTGAAATCAGGGCTTTGCACTTGCAAAGCAGGAGCTCGACCGCTTGAGCTGCACCTCCACTCCATTTTGTACTGGTAATTTTGGAAATGAGGGGCTCCTGAACATTTCTCGAGGCTGGCCTCAAATCATGATCCTCCCGATCTCAGCCTTCAAAGTAGCTAGGATTACAGGCATGACCCACTGATGAGTCTTGGGTTTGAGAGTGGCAGAAACCGGAAGTCCTAAGACCTGGGTACCGAGGTCAAGTCTGGGACTCGGATCCCCGGTCCTGGGTAGGCCTTGGGTCTCACTCACCTGTTGCTCTGCGCGCTCTCCGCCTGGGTCCCCGCACACAGGTACAGGGTAAGGGGAAACTCAGTCCGGTTGTCTCCCAGGTGATCTCGCACTATGTCAAAGCTGAGACAGGGGGCGCCTGGGGAGGAAGCGCGAGGTTGGGAAGTAAGGACGGGACAGACGGACCTCAGCCTCTACTTGTCTCACTGACCAGCCATCTCCAGTGTGACATCACCTCTCCTAGACCCCAGTCTCCTCTTCCTGGGCATCTGTTAAGTTAAAAGCTCAGGACCAGTCCCTTCCTTCCTCAGGACCCAGGAGTCCGGGCCCTGAGCCCTACCAGTCTGCGCACGGTGGTATAGCACATAGGCCTCCTCGTCCATGACCAGCTCCTCTCCTTCGCGTAGCGGCGGTCCCCGGCCGGGCAGGTAGACCTGGGCCGGGCCCTCGGAACCTGTGTCGCTGGACTCAGCCTCCATGGGCTCCCCAGTTTCACACGTGCGCCGCCGACCCTCGCGCGCCGCCATTTGGAACTCTCACCGCCGGCGCGGCCTAAGAGCGTCACTTCCGGATTTCCCCTTCCTACCGCCTAAGACCCGCCCTACTGACGGTTACCTTGGAAACCCCGTCCCCCAATCAGAGACGGCGCAGTTGGGGGAAGAAGGGAACTAAGATAACCGTGTCCTGGTCCAGCGAAAGAAGCCTGCGGATGTGGAGAAGCTGCATTTGCCGAATGACCTTGAGGCATTCTTTCGCGCGGCAGTCTCAAGTCCTCCTGGGAGTTGTAGTTTTATAGGCGGTCCAGAGTTTGGAGCAGATTTCCCTCTTCCATCTTTGATTCCCAGGGCTGCCGTCCCACTTAATTAATTATTCATGTATGCAAACGAGCACTTACTGGCAAGGAGACTGTTTCTGCTCCCTGAGGACCTATAAAACCTATCTTTTCTCTTCTCCCTGTTATGATGGCTTTAATTTATTTCAAAATGCTTCCGTGTAGACAGGCTGGACATTATGTGTGAGTTAGTCGGTTGGATCTACCCTCTAGGGGCAGTGAATTGCCTAACGAGACGTTCCCATTGCAGTTCTGGTCAGCGAGCACTTAATCAGAAAGTCCACCCTCTGGAGGCAGCAATTACAAGTGCACAGGGTTCTCTTTATCGCCCATGGGCACAGCGGCTTGGCTAATTGGCGTAATGAAATGTTAGAGATAGATTCTCTGGTGAGATTAACGGCATTCTGGACGTGGGGATTGGCTGGGGGGGTATCAGCCACTCTCATCATTTGCATGAACAGGATATTACGAATCTAGCTAGCCTTGCTGCCTGTAGCCATATGGAAATGGGACCCTAGGTTTGATACTTAAATTTTTTTTTTTTGATCCTTAAATATTTTGTATCCCGGATCTTTCTCATCACTCTTTTGGGGTATCTTTCTCTCTGTCCTGGCCATCTCTTGATCCCCTCTCTCTTCAAGTCTCTTCTCTTCCTTGATCTTTTTCTCCCCCACCTCCTGTTTAAGAATCTCTGTTCTATCTGTAATTATGTCTGCTCTCCCAGCTGTGGACATTTCCCTGTCTCCAGAGAAGTTGAGAGGAGGCTGAGATAGACACGGAGCTCAGGCTTGCACTGAGGAGGCATAAAAACATGGTTTATTCCAAACACTGCAATGTAGGACCGTGGAGTGGGACGAGAAGTCGGTGGTGAAGTGTGGGCTCTCAGACCCTCCCCTCCACAACCCAGCTCCAGACCCGGCTGGAGATCTGGGAAGAGGAAGCTTTTTTTTGGGGGGGGATGTCTGCCGGGTCATCACCGAAAGGTCACTAATAAGGGCTGAGCTTGGAGAAGATATGGTTGATGGCACCTGGGATGGTGGGGAGGTGGGAGTGGTGGTGGGACTTTCGGCTTAAGAAAGGTTGAGATCATCGTGGGGCAGAGGAAGACAGGGCTTCCGTTGGGACGGGTCCTAGGTCAGAGGAGGGAAAAGCCATTGAGGGAAAAAAAAGAGAGGGGGAAGTGTCACGGTTTGACATTAGGGTCACAGTCTGGGGTTCGGGTCACAGTCTGGGGTCGGATGACCATTTTAGGTGTCGGAAGTCACAGTCTGGGGTCAGGGGTTTCTGTGTGGCGGGGCCAAGTCTGGGGTCACAGTTTGGCGAACGCGTATCACAGTTTTGAGTCCCGATGGATGAAAGGTTAAAAACGGGCTTCCCCGGAGGCGTGGCCGGGGCCGGGGAGCTGCACAGTGATGTGGGGGCCACGGCCCCGGGCGTGGGGGCGGGGCTCGGGCATGGCGTGACCCCCCCCAACCTCCCGCCCCATCTGGTGAAGTTAAAAAGCCCTTATCGGGTTTTTAAAAAAAAGTCGGCTGGGCTCCAAGACCCCCCCTGTCGCTCTCAGGCTGGGTAGGATTTGGGCAACCAAATCCCCTCTGGCTCGTGGTTCCCCCAACGCGAGGGGGCGCAGGACGCTGCTCCAGGCGGGGTCCACCCAGTTCCATGTTTCTCCTTCCCAACCCACGCGGGTCCTATCCGTTGTGCGCGCCCCCTCGGGCCGTGGCCTGCGCTGACCGAGGGGGCGGTGGGGCCCCCTGGGCCGCGTCATACTTCGGACTCGAGGCTGGAGAAGTGCGCTGAGCCCCTGCGAGTGCCCAGGTCCCCGCCCCGGTGTCTCCGGTGGGGTGGCATCGCGGGCAGCGGAGGTCCCCAGTGCGCGGCGTGCGGGCACCGGCGCGCGTGGCGAGAGGGCCCGGTGAGCCTGCGCGCAGGGGCGGCGCGGGGACACGAGCTGAGGTCCTCCAGCGAGCGCGAGGTGGGCGCGGGCGGCGGGAGATCCCAGCCCCCCACGGGGCGCCGATGCCGGTGATGATGCGGCGCGGCGGGAGCGCGGTGCGAGGCCCGCGGGCGGTGAGAGTGTGGCCGAGGACATCCGCAGCGGGCCCGACGCCGGGGCGGAGGTCCCGCGGCCCAGGGCGGGGGCGGGGGCGCCCACCAGCCGCCGTCCAGGCCGTCGTGCGAGCAGCTGAGATGGCGCGGCGGTGGCAGCAGCTCCAGGCTGGCGCAGTGGCGACAGTGCCAGGCGGCGGGACCGCTGCGCGGGGGCAGGTAGTCCCAGCTGCCGGCGCGCCAGCCTCCGAGCTTGTCGACCGACCAATAGCGGCCCGGCGGCGGCCCGAGGCGCTCGGCGTATGGGTACGGGAAATCGGCGAACCACCAGGGCTCCAGGCCGCCCAGTGACGCGCCGCCCAGGCTCTCTGAGTCCTCTGAGTCCGACGGCGACGGCTCGAGGTCCAGGTAGGGACAGGGGGGCGGTGCGGCGCGGCACGGGGGCGGGGCGGCCGCGGCTCCCCCTCCCGAGCCCCCGGCGACCCCCGCACCCCCCGCGCCGGGCCCCAGCAGCGGCTGGCTCTCGGGATCGGAGCGCGGCCACCGCGCGGGCGCCGGCGGGCTCTCGTCCTCGTAGGCCAGGCGACACAGCGGTGGCCCGACGGCGGTGGCCGCGGTGGCAGGAGGCGCGGGCGGCGACGGGAAGCCGGGGAAGGTGCCGGCGGGAGGCTCGGCCGGCTCCTTGTCGCGCACGATGGCGAAGTAGGAAGGCGGCGGCTTCTGCGGGGGCTGCGCGGCTGGAGGGGACAGTGGGCGTCCGGGTGCGCCCCGGGTCGCTGCGCGCGCCTCGCCCAAGCCTAGGCCCTGCGGTTCGATGGGGCCGTAGTAGCGGTGGAAGCCGTCCGCCAGCCCCGCGGTCCCCGGCGGCCCCGCGCCCTTGGCCCGGCGCCAGCGGTCCACCGCGGCTCGCTCGCGGGGCACGAAAGGCGCGGGGCCGGGTGGAGGGCGCGCGGCGGGGTACGCGGGGCTGGGCAGAGGCTGCGGTGGCGGTGGGGGCTTGGCCGGCGGCGGGGCGGCCTCGGCGCTGCAGCAGCTGTACATGCCCTGCGGGGCGGTTCAGAGGACGCGTGGATCGTGGGGTGCCCGCCGCACCCACCTTGCCCTCCCGCGGCCCCTCCCATCCAGGGCCTTCCTCTATCCCTGCTCCCTGCCTTTGCCTGTCCTTCCCCCACCCCACACACACCCTTGTCACCCCGTACCCTGGAGAAAGCCAGCAGGAAGTCCATGCGGTGGCTGGGCCCCAGGCAGTGCCTCAGTCTCCAGTACACCAGGTGCTCCCAGGCGAAGACCAGCAAGGAGAGGCCCATGGCCACCAGGAGCATGTAGAAGACCCCGGCCATGTTATCGATGTCCAGCTTACTGCTCATCACCTCGATTTTGTCGTTGTGACAGATCCCGGAGAGCCACAACCGCTCCAGCATCTCGATCTCATCTGGGGAATGGGGTCGTAGGTCACCCGCTAGGCACATCCTGTCGCTCCGACATCTGGGAGTCCAGACGCCCCGCCCCCCACCCCCACAAGCCGAGTCCTCTCCCGATCAAACTCTGGTGTCCTGGTTTCCGTCCCCTGCATGACCTCGGGATCCCGCCCCGCCCTTCCCTCTCCTCTCCGCTGCGGGAGTCCCCGCGCAGCCGCACCGTCCCCCAGGAATTGCAGCAGCGCCAGGTCGATGGGCCGCTTCCAGCGGGAGCCCTTGTGCAGGGCGATGCCATAGCCCGTTGTGGCGAAGACCTTGCCCGAGCCGATGGTGACGAGCTTGCAGCCCTCGTCCTTGCGGGCCATATAGTTGAGCACCGCCGCGTCGTAGATGAAGGCGTCCAGCTTCCTGCGGAGGGGGAGGGACGCCAAGGGCAAGGTCAGCCCCACTCAGGTGTCCTTATACCACCCTCGGCTGGAACCTCTCTCATCCCTAACTTCCACCTGCTTCAAGTCTTAGGTGGCTGGGAACTTTTGGGCATGTCACCAAAACTCTTTGTGCCTCAGTTTTAATCTCTGTAAAATGGGCATCATTGTAAAATATCCTATTAAAACATTGTAAAATATCCCATCAAGAGTTTTTGCAAAGGTTAGATAGTGCCTAATGCCAAGGAGGGAGGTGCTTCGGAAAGTGTTAGCTGTGGCTGTTCATGAAATAATTACTTGTTTAATCCTCATCGTGGTCCACCAAAGATCTTGTTTGTTTGTATTTAAAAAAAAAAAAAAAGGGAAAGCCTATTTTTATTTATTTGGGGTATTGGGGATTGAACTCAGGATCTCAGGCCTACTAAGCAAGTGCTCTACCACTTGAGCAACACCCCCAGCCCTTTTGCTTTCTTGAGTTTTTCAGATAGGCTCTTTGCCAGGGCTGGCCTCCTACCCAGATCCTCCTACCTCCACCTCCAAGTAGCTGACATCACAGCTTGGCCTTTTTTTTGGAGACACGGTCTTGCTATGTAGCTCAGCCTTAACTGCAGCTAAAGATCTCCCTCTCTAATGCTGGGATTATAGATGTGAGTATCACACCTGGCTAGAAAACCTTTTTTTTTTTGGTTTGAACTCAGGGCCTCATACTTGCTAGGCAGGTGCTCTACTACTTGAGCCACTCTGCCATTGAGAAAACCTATTTTTTAAAAATATGCTAAGGATGGGTGCTGGTGGCTCGCACCTGTAATCCTAGCAACTCAGGAGGCAGAGATCAGAAGAATCATGGTTTGAAGCCAGCCCAGGCAAACAGTTCTCAAGACCCTATTTCCAAAACACCCATCACAAAAAAAGGGCTGGTGGAGTGGCTCAAGGCTCTGAGTTCAAGCCCCAGTACTGAAAAAAAAATGTTAGGGGCAGGGGCTGTAGGTCAGGAGTAGAACTGCTTGTCCAACATGGGAGCGGCCCTGGGTTCAATTGCCAGCACCACAAAAATAAGCTAGAATTCTACAATGTATTCATAAGGGAAAAGGTCCTGTTTTAAGAGGAGAACTGAGGCTTAGAAGAGGGAATAACAACAAAGCCTGTGAATGATCATGTGTATGGTGCATGTATTATCCTGGCACTGTCCTAGCTGGGCTGATCTCACTACACCCCTGAGACAGAAACTGTTATGTCTTTTTTTTTTTTCAGATGGGGAAACACAGGCCCAGAAACAAACCACAGCTTGCTGGGGTCCTCCCACCAGATCTGTATTTCTGAGAGGTGGAGGAGGAGCCTAGATACGGAAACATGCTCACAGATAAGAACACTGTGACCTCCTCCCAGCACCACTCTCCTTGGCAACTGTGACCATTTGACTCCATTGTCTCTGTGATTATTCAATAACCTCAGCCTCTCCCCTGATGTGAGCCCCAGAGAGCAGGGTCCCAGCAGTACCCAGCTCTGGCCAGGACAGGGAGTTGATAAGTATTTGCAGAATAAATGAATGAGTGAGTAAATGAGTCCTGAACAGGTGTAACTATTCTACTGTTTCAGATAAGTGTTTGTGAGCTGACAAAGTAAAGATATCCAGAGTATTAAAAAAGCTAGACCTGGGCTGGGGGCGTGGCTTGACGGGGGCGTGGCTCAAGGAATAGAGCACCTGCCTAGCAAGCACAAGGCCTTGAGTTCAAACCCTAGTTCCAGCAAAAAGAAAAAAGAAGCTAAACCCAGAATCCCATTTAGAGTATAACCTTACTTTTTAATTTTATTTTTGCAGTACTAGATTTGAACTCAAGGGCCTTGTGCTTACCTCAAAGCAGCTCTACCACTTGAGCCATGCCCTCAGCCTTTTTAGATAAGGTCTTTTGCTTTTGTCTGTGCTGGCCTGGACCACAGCCTCCTGCCTCCAAAATAGCTAGGATTACAGAGGTGCACCACCACACTTAGTTAGCATCCTTTTTTTTTTTTTTTTGGTGGAACTGTGGTTTGAACTCAGGGCTTCCTGCTTGCAAAGCAGGTTCTCTACCGCTTGAGCCACATCTCCAGTCCATTTTCTTTTTGCTCTGGTTATTTTGGAGATGGAGGTCTCATGAACTATTTGCCTGGGCTGGCTTTGAACCTCAGTACAACTAGTGGCATGAAATCTTGACCATCTTCCCTGCAGGCACCAGACTAGTTCTGAGAGGGAGGAACCTGTCCCCCATTCCCTGTCCCTGTCTGGTGGAGCTTTGTCCAAAACAACATTCTGTGACGATGGGAGTGGCCCATCTCCACCATCCAACATGGTAGCTAGCAGCCACAAGTGGGTTGGCTCGTGGGACCAAGAGATGGAATTTTAAATTGTATCTCATTGTAGTTAATTTAAACTGAAACATCAGTGGATAACACAAGTATGGAAGATGAGTTTATGGCTGGATGCTGGGCTGCAGAGAAAGGAGGGTCTTCCAGGAAATAGCTGCTAGCCTGTCTGGTTGTTCTTTTTTTTGTGTGTGTTTTTGTGGAGCTAGAGATCACTCCAGTGTTTTTTCATGCCAGGCAAGCCCTCTACCACATGAGCTAAGTCCCCAGCCCCTACACTGTTGATATAAATCCTCTGCATCCCAAACCTTCAGAAGAGCTCTGTCTACACACTCACGTGCTCACACATGAACAAATGCCCAGTGTGCATGGAATTGAAGGCAAAGAACTGAATTAATCCACACAGTTGGGCTGGGGGAGATTCTTGGAAGGTGGGGACTCCCCACATTGAATGGCTGCAGCAGAAGCCAAGAGCTGGGGGTGTGGGGAAGGATGGGAAGCTCAGAGAAAGAGCAGAATCTTTGGGAGGGTGTCCACAGCCCCCAGCTGGAGAGAAGGGATTGAACTGTTTTCTGTAGATTCTAACAGGCAGGGAGATCCCAGCTGACACCCCGGACCATGCATAGATGTGTAGGCCAGCAAAATCCCGCCACTGCCTGCAGGCACTTCTGCCTTGTAGGGAAACAGTAATTTCTCTCTAGCTTTCTCTTTGTTAAGGAAAATGCCCTTGGGGGTGAAAGGTAAATTACTCTCCATGTTTAAGTGGGAAGATTTAGAGTTTCCCCAGTCAGGCTAAAGAGGAGGGATGAAGGGGCTGGGTACTGGGGGACTTAGGATCAGATGGAAGGAGGGTCTTTGAGGGTCCTTGGAGGAGTGGGGGTGGGGGGCATTTTAGAGAAAGTCAAAGTCAAGGCTTGCAAGGGAGGTAGGATCAAAGAGCATTCTTTTTTGGGAGGGTGGCTCTGACAGTTGAGCTCAGGTGGCTCTGACAATTGAGCTCAAGGCCTGGCACATGCTAAGCCCAGGCTCTACCACTGAGACTGGTATTCACTTTTGTGGGGGAGCAGTACTGGGAATGGACCTCAGGCCTCATACCTGCTAGGCAGGTGCTCTACTCCTTGAGACACACCCTCAGCCCTTTTGCTTTAGTTATTTTTCAGGTAGGGTCTTGAATTTTCTGATCTGATGGCCTGGACAGCTGTCCTCCTACTTTTGCCTCCTGCATTGCTGGGATGATAGGTATACGCCACTATGCCCAGCTTTTTGTTGAGATGGGGTCTCATGAACTTTTTTTGCCTGGGCTGGCCTTGAACCTTGATCCTCCTGATTCCTGCCTCCTAAGTAGCTAGGATTACAGGCGTGAGCCAGCCCTGCCGGTGAGCTATTCACTTTTAACGGTTTGCTCACTTGTTCTGGGATTGGATGCTTACTTCCCTTCCCCTAGCCCTCTGCTTGTCCTCAATGGCTTGTCCCCCTTGTCCTCAATGGCTATTAAAACTTGGCACTTACTATAGCATTTGTGTGTAAATTAGGAAAAATAAAAATTCCCTGTTTCTATTCTTGCTTTCCTAAGTATTTATTCCCACCCAGAGATTTTTTTTTTTTTTTGAGACAGGGTGTTGCCAACCTCATACTTTTTTTTTTTTTTAATTTTCCTGTCAGGAATCGGGGTTTGAACTCAGGGCTTTGCACTTGCAAAGCAGGCACTCTAACACTTGAGCCACCTCCAATATATTTTGTTCTGGTTATTTTGGAGATGGGGCCTCAAGAACTATTTGTCTTGAACCACAGTTCTCAGTCTCTCAAGAAGCTAGGATTACAGGCATGAGCCACTAGCACAGGTCTTAGCTTCAAACTCTTGATCCTCCTGCCTCAGCCTCCTAACTGCTGGGATTACAGCATGTGCCTCCACACCTGGCCCAGAGGAATCGTACATTTGAGGCAGTGCCCGTTTCTGCTCAGCTCACTACCCTCTTGGTTCCCACTTGACTCAGGGTGACCTGGGTTACCACAAGCTTCTGACACCTCTGTGCCCTTCTTTCCCAAAGCCCTCAGCCCCTCAATTCCCCCACCCACCATGGTGCTGCAGCCACACTGGCCTTTGGGAGGTACCTGGAACACTTCAGCTTAATCCTGCCTCAGGGCCTTGGCACTAACTGTTCCCTTTTCTGGAACATTCTTCTCCCAGATAGCTGCTTAACTTATTCCCTCACCTCCTTCAAGAGTTCACAAGATACCTTATCCAGTCCTTTATTTAATACTGCTCTCTCCTGCCCAGGCCTCCCAATCTCATTCACCCTTTCCGTGTAAAGCACTCATCACCTATAATAAATATGCTTATTTACTCAGCTTGTCGGCAATCTCCCTCCAGTCAATTTTAATTCCAACCATGGCAGAGACCTTGCCTGCCTGGTTCACAGCTGCACCCACCACCAGGTCTAGAAGTACCTGGCACACAAGGTGCTTAAGGAAGAGTGGCTTTGAGGCTTGGTATGGTAGCACATGCCTGTGGTCCCAGCCACTTGATAGGTGGAGATCAGACAGTCAGACCGATGATACTGTCAGTAGTAGTGAGGAATGACTATTCTTTTTTCTTTCAGCACTGGGGTTTGAACTCAGGGCCTCAGGCTTGCTAGGCAGGCGCTCTACCACTTGAGCCACTCCACCAGCCCTATTTTTGTGATGGGTTTTTTGAGGTAGGGTCTCAGGAACCATTTGTCTGGGGCTGGCTTCAAACCTCCATTCTACTGATCTCTGCCTTTTGAGTAGCTAGGATTACAGGCCTGAGCCACCGGCGCCTAGCTACACTATGGACTTTATTAAAA